GACAGAGAGAGGTGACGGCGTGTCTGTGAGAGAGTGATTGTAGACGAGATGCCAGATCAGGGCCAATTATATTACATATCCATCTCTGGATCTTGTCAAGAACTCCGAGATCATTTCATAAATAAATCATTAATGTTTTGTGGCAATTCTCAACACCAACATGGGATTTTTCTTGTTGAAAAAGTTGAATAATTTAACACATTCAACATTATGGATAAGAAATAGGGAAATTTATAGTGTTAGCATGAGCAAAACAAATTCACAGAAAAAAAAAAAAAACAAAAAAAGGAAAACTAAGACTGATGTCAAAATCCATAAAAAAAAATGTTATCCTTTAATAGTCAGTTATGCTTAGTTGAACTTGTAATTTATGTAAATGTAGGTAGAAAAAAAGCAAATGTTGATAAGATAGTGAGGGTCACAAAGCATTGCCCGGGGCCCTAAACCTAGAGGTTCAGGGGTAGTATGCACTGGCTCTGTAAATGAGCACCATTTTTCATAAAAACAGCTTTTTTTTCTTTTTAATTCCAATCAAGGGAGTAAAGCCACTAAAACAATTAATTACTTCCTGTGGAATAATTATAAACAGAAATATTAGTAGGAGCAAGAACAAAAGAAGAGTAATCAAGAGGACAGTAGATAGCAATTGACATTGCATTTATATAAAAACTGTTAGCATAGAATTTTCAGTTACATCTGGCCAGTTCAACTGTAAATTAATGAGACCTCGTCATCAGTCTATTGAAGAGCTCATCTGAACAATTACCATGAAAGTATTTATAGAAAAGGAACAAAGAGGCAACCTTATGGCAGAGGGAAAGTCACTGAAGCTGAGTAGTCCGATCAGGACCAATAATATTGCTGATTCTAGTTTGGAATTTAGTAAGAAGCTGTAGATTTTAACTCTTTTCTAAATTATTGATCAATCTCTTAGCAGTGGTGATTTCTAAAAGACATGGAGTAAAATTGAACACATGATTGCATGACTCCTTCTTCCATTTTGGAAATGTTTTGTTGGTATGGCAAATGGTGGATGAAAATGTTAACCACATATTTTGAATAAAACAAGGTTCATTTTGTTTCTGTCAAAAGTCGACATTTTACTAAAAATATTTTAGGCAGTGAGTGTCAAAGCATTTTCTCCTTAATTTTTATTCTTATCAAAGTTGATAACATTTTCATATTTGCTTTTCAAGATGTCAGAAACATTGTTGTAACCTAGAGAAGGTTACTGAATAGAATAATCACATGAAGGTTGGTAATAAACGATAATACTTAGGACACGAACAACACATATAAGATTCACCAGCGATGCACAGAAGTAGTCGTCAACTGCTAGAAGCAAGTCAAGTGAATTCCACAATGAATCTCCAAATGCAGACCAACATACAGTATTTACTACTGTATTTATGTGAAGGGGGACATACCAATTATTGTCCGTAGGTATGCCACAACAATTATAAATAGAGGAACAGAATAATTCAGCAAAGTCTTATTATAATTCTGCTTGTCCCTTCCCTAGCGTAAACATTACAGCCTGACAATACATCATAAATAATAGACTATTCTGTTCTACTCATCTGGAAAGACAAAAAAGACATATCAGAGATGCTGATGGTTTCAGCGAGAAAATGAAAGAAAGAATTGACAATAGAAGTGTTTAACAGCTGTTTCAGTGAAATGGAAAAAGTTGTTAATTTCAAATCTTTTCATTTGTACCCCCTTACTTCTTAAAATAACGACCAGCATTCATATTTATGATTGTTATTGCAACATTTTTTGTTGTTAAGCTTAAATAGTAAACATTGCTATAGGGAAACTTCTACAGATATTTTACTATCGTAAAACTCGCTATGAGCTTATTCAATCATTAACTGAAGAATTAAGATTCATCAGAAAATTCCAACAGAAAAAACACAAACTTTTCATTTCACATATATATATATATATATATATATATATATATATATATATATATAGGCACAGTGGAGTAATGTATAGCGGCTTGGATTGATGAATTGGAGAGCCGAGTTCAATTACAGTCAAATCCATTGCATTCACTTCACTGCTAATACCCTTAGGAAAGGTGTGAATCCTCTTCTTCTCCCTCCAGCTATGGGTAAAATAGCAGGAGAGACTGGGTTCTATAGCCTTGGATGGCAACTGGTCTAGGAGAAGGACAACTCTAAATTCAAAACCTCATGGAGGGTTGTTTGGGGACCTTGTGGCACGTAGTGGACCAGGTCTCTGTATTCGCCCTTCAAAAGTGTGGATGGTCCTGCACAAAACAATCACCACTATAATCAAATCTCATGTGCTGTTATTGGGCTGTCGGTTTCCTGGGAACTGATCTGCTTGACCCTCGTATGTCGAATTCAACAGGAGAGTCAATATATATATATATATATATATATATATATATATATATATATATAATGAAAAAACAAAAGGAAAACTTTTCTTTACCAACACATTTCATCCTGTGATGGACTTTCTCAAAACCAATAAAGATCATCCAAGGATGAAGTGCATTGGCAAAGAGAAGTTCTCCCTTTATCTTTATTCATATTGTCTTTTTACAAATATTTTTTATTTATAGATTTTACACACACACACACACACACACACATTTTGAAAAAAATATGGCAAACTGGAAAGTTTTTTTTTGTGACGTGTTTCACCCGTTGGGATTTCATCAGACTGGACGTTTTTGCTGTTATCACATCTACATACGCACACGAAACAAGAGACGCAGGTAGTTTCAAAATTTTTTAAAGAATATTTAACCCCCCCCCAATCACTCTAGCCAAATTCATTTGTACTATTTTTATTTTTCTCTCCATCATTGTCCCCGACTATCCCACACTGTGACAAAAGGTGATGGAGAGAAAAAGAAAAAGAATACAGATGAATTTCGCTAGAGTGATTGGGGGGGGGGTTAAATATTCTTTCCAGTTTGTCATATTTTTTCCTAAATGCTATTTGTGGATATATAAAATTATACAAAATTATATACACAAGACAGTTGGGAAAATTTGATATGTTTTGCCAATAAATCCGTGTCATCAGAAAAATGGATTTTATTTGAACTGCAGTTTTTTTTTGATGATGATGATGATCAAGTGACAAAATGTCATAAAAATTATACAAATTGTCCTAAATATTTATCATTTCATTGTATTCTTATATATTTGGAGCAGGTAGAATGGAGATCAACATGTTTTAGTAGACTCGGCAATTTTCAATCTGCTTGTCTGAATCATCTTTAAGAAGAGAGAGCAAGATCTAAAAGGTCAGCCAATCTAACAGTGATCTCATCTCACACTTGCTCCATATGCAGCCTCCTTTGTAATTCACTAGCGGGTCTTAAATGCCAATTAAGATTATCGCACAAAATTTCATAACTGAATCAATAAGCTGTCAGATCTTCATACGTCGAAACCGACAGGAGAGTCCATTATTATATATATATATATATATATTTATATATATGCCCAAGAAGAAACAGAGTACAGTAGGATCTCAAATAGGTTTTTCTCACATAGTGAAATTTGAAGATAATAGTGAACCATCCTTTTATGTCCAGCTCTTTTATTATATAAAAGCCCATCTGATGACAGAGGGGATGAAACTCTCCCCACTAAGAATTAAATTTGACTTATACAAGGGAAAAATTTCTTTTAAAATGAGATAAAAACTTTTCTGTAGTCAAGGAATTAAACACTTTTGGTTTTTATTTAATTTTTGCTTTACTTTTATGTATCTCAGACTGTGGAAAAAAATTGATTGTTTTTCAAAATAGCAATAATATTAAAAAATTATGTTATATCGACAATATATCTTTTTTGTAGATAATTTGCTCGTTTCAATATATATTTCAAAAGAGTTTTAGTTCAATAAAAGATTTGAAGTTCTTCTGAATGGACCAACCACAAATAAATGAAGCAGCGGTTGGCAAGATTCTCTAAGAGCCAACTGCATATTAACAAAAACAATAGTGAATTATGGGATTAAAATCCAAACCAGAAATGATAAAAGCCTTACAGAAATGTAAGAAAATTATCTGTTTATATTTCTGATTTTTTTCTTTTTACATTTATCTCAATCTATTCAATCTATTTATTCCATAATATCTCAAGAACCAGAGTTCTCACTGATACTCCTTTTCTTTCTTTTCTCCATTAACCTCTCTTACACTCCCTATCCATTTGTTCTCATTCCTTTCTTTCTTGCCTTACCTGCCTATTTCCATCTGGTTGTATTTAATTCTGCTTAAATCAGTCTGCATTTACCTGTCTAATCCTGTACAAACATTCCTATTTGTCATTATGGATCAAAGTCTATTGATATCTATCAAAACCCGGAGATATCTAAGCCAGTATATATGTATATCAGCTAATGTATCTATATGACCCTGTAGATATCTGTCTTAGCCTATAAATATCTATCTAAGCCTGTGTATATCTCTCTATCTATCTAAGCCCATGAATATCTATCTAAGACCGTACATATCTCTCTATCTAGCTAAGCCCGTACATATCTCTCTAGCTAAGCCAATACATATCTATCTAAGGCCGTGCATATCTCTTTATATACATGTACATTTATACATTTCACTCTAAATCTCACCACAGTTATGTTTGTTTAAATATTTTTCTGTAAGCTGTGATATATATATATATATATATTTAAATAAATACAAATGATTTATATTTCCAATTTTCTAAAATCTTTTCCTTGAACAATATTCTATAATAACAAAAAAAAATACAAACTTTTTATGAAAACTGTTTATGTTGTTGAAAGATTTCTTTATGCTTTATAAGGAATATGAGGCCGGGGAAAAAAACACCTATAGTCTTTGTTTTCTTTTTTCTTAAACCTTTTCCCTTATAAAAACATGGCTGAGTAATTTAAATATAATTTTGATTGTAAATTCTCTTCCAATGTGTCCTTTTTATTTTTGATCATTAAACGATCATCAGTAAACTTGTCCTTCATCAACTGTCCCTGGACTTAAAACGATGATCTTTCAGACATTTTGGTGTGCAAAATCGAAAGTGGTAATATTCATATGGAATGAGTCCACTAATATCACAGAAGCACTGGGAACAGCGACTGAAAAAAGAAAAAAAAAAGAATTTGTTTTTCATTATGGCAAAATTGGCACTTGCTTCAATTATCACCGTCAAGTTACAAAATTTAAAAAAAAAAAAACAAATAAAATTATCAGAAATAAGTGCATAAAAAACAAAAAAAAAATCCTATTTTATTTAAAACAATTGTTCTCATATTAGTTGTTCTAGATGCTATTATAGACATGTTTCGGACAAGTATAGTCTGGCCATCATCAGGTATTCATTTGTTTTGTTTTCTTTTTTGATTGATATATCTGTTGATTATAAAATGTGACGATGACCAGAGAGTATTGAGCTAAACTTTGTGCTTATAATAACATCTAAAAACAACCAAGTTTTTTTTTTTCTTAAACATATTTTGTCAAATAATATCAACAAGTTCTGTCCACCCAATTTTTTTTTTAAACTGTTACAAATTTCTAAATTAGTTGTTTTATATAATCAGTAAATTTACCCCAAGTACTTTCAAATGTTTGTACATCCATTTTCAAGGATTTCAGTTTTATTTGTCTGCTTAAGTAACTGTTTTTGGTTAATTTTGGTGTTTGCTGAAACCAAATTCAAGTCACACAAGGTGATGTCATTTCTTCTTTATGTGCGGTGTCCCCTTGGGACATAGGCGATCATGGCTCTACACAACTTCCTGTCTCTTGTAGCCTTTAATAAATTTTTTTCTTTTTGTTATCTTTGACAAACTCCATCATCCATTTGCTCAAGCTCGTCAAATATGTGCTACTTTTCTCTGTTCCTCAATCTGTCTTGAGAGTATCAGATTTTCCAAGCCCTCCTTCCTCATTATGTGCCCCAGAAATTTCAACTGTCTTTTCCTGATGTTAAATATAAGTTTCCTTTTTGTTTCCATTATCTCTAAAACCTTGACATTGCTCACATGTTCAGTCTATGGTATCCTCAGCATCCTTCTGTAGAACCACATTTCTGTTGTTTCAAGTCATCATTGAGGAGACTGTCCATAGCGGAGAATGGATGTCACATAACCGTTCAGAACTCTTTTCTTTATTTCTAATGTTTTCCTGTCTCTTAATACCCTGCTTAGCTTCTGGAATACATCTTTGGCTATCCCAATGTGTCTTCAGATTTCGGTATCGTACTTTCTGTCCTCTGTTACAACACTTCTCAGATATTTAAATTTTTTGTACATGTTTGATTTTGGTATCCCCAATTGGTAGGCTCAAAATGAATTTTTACATGTATTTTTTTTTTTTTATATATATATTTCAATATATGATCCCCTATGGGATTTATTTAATGTTGGCTGCTTCCCTTGTACTGCAATCAATATGAGGCTTACTGAAGCACATTCTCATATGATCACCAAAGTTAAGCAACACCAGGCCTGGTCAGTACTTAGATGGGGGACCACTTGGGAATACCAGGTGCTGTAAGCTTGGATATGTGGCTGGTGTAATGGAAAACAGCTTTGAATTGAAAATCAGAGAGCCAAGTTCAAATTCCAGTTGAATTCATTATAGTCACTTACACAGAAATACCCTTGGGAAAGGTATGAATCCGCCTCTTCTCCCCCGGCTATATGTTACATAGTAGAATTTGTCTGAGTAAATCATTATTATCTCCTAAAAAATTCTTACAATCTAAAAATATTTTTCGGGCTTTTAAATAACCTGCAAAGGGTTGATAAGCTGTAAAAAATGAATCAATCAATCAATAATCGAATTTGTGTCAGTGAACCATTATTATCTGCCCTAAAAATTCTTACAATCTGCAAATATTGTCTGGCTTTAAATAACCTGCAAAAGGGTTGATAAGGTGTAAAAAAAAAAAAATCAATCAAAAATCAATCAAGATGAGGACATGAATTTGAAACAAAAACAGTTTAATTTTTTTCAGTTTACATTCTGCACAGAGACAGCAACATAAGACAGCATTATGAACATATACCCATACCAACTTTGCTGGATGTGTCTCTGTGGGCTATGGTACTATTCACAATTGGCCATATCGTCTAATGGTTTGCGTTGTGATTCCCAGCAAGAAGAAAGAAAGATTATTTACTTTCTTCTGTTCTTGCTGAACCGTCGTGATCTTGTTGTCTGGATACTGGGTGAATAATGCCTTTGTAAGAATAGACGACTTGATGAGCAGAATTATCTTCAATAATAGCAATTTATTAAAAAGAACAATGAAAATTGTCCAGTGCAACTAAATTATTTCAACACAGGTGGCAGAAGATAAAGAAAAAAGGCTGTTGGCACTTGCCTTTTTTTCAATTATGTGCTTTGAGAGTTGTCCACTGTTAGGAAATTTGTGGAAGAAAAATTACTTTTCAAATGTGCTTGATGTAACAAACTAATTGATACTGCTAGGAGCCAGAACTGGGTTCAAACTTAACTGATTCCATGTGCATTTCAGTGACTCGTATTTATGGAGTATACTACTCATGCATCCTGCATTATAAGAAGTGATGACAGATGTCCAAGGCCAGACAAATTCCTTTGTCTGTCCCAAAAATGATTTATGAACATGAACAGATTAGAGAATAGTATGATTTATGTCAGTGAAAAGAAGGTAAAATTCTTCCATTGCAATTTCGATCTAGCCCCACGTGATATGACTCAATCATCACGTGAATTCGGGTATCACGCTTTCTGACCCTCTTTACTTAGGATTCTCAGTTTCAAATTTTCAGTTCCAATCAGGAAATTTTTAATTTATTCTCATTTTCAAAGCCAATTTTCAATCTCAGCTCTTTTCCAAAATTATGTATTTTGTTCAATTTAACATCACCCTCTTTTTTTACTTTTCCACTCTCACCTTATACATGTTTTAACCCTACCATCTTGTGTCTTAACAAAATTGCTTTTCTAAAATGATTGCATTGACTCAGCATTCTTCAATTTATTTTTATGCTTTTATAAAAATTTGGTCAATTTGCAGTTTAGCACCCACGCTCAATTTGCATTACAAATTTCTAGAATACTTACATTTATGAGTAATTGTACGTGCTTTATTCGAATCTGACTTGATAATTTTGATAAAATCTACCATTTTGGACTTATCGACAGTAAGAGTTCAGATTCATTCTCATCACTGTCGGTAGCCATTACTGGCATTGTTTGCATACATTTGCTGTTGAATAGGTATGAGTAGAATATTCACTTGTCTTGATTATTGCGCATGCAATATAAGTTCTCTTGCGCAGTAATTGAGACAAGTTAGATCAGTAATCAAGGCCATTAACTACATTCCCTTCCACGCTTAGCTTTCCACAGCGAATGTATGCAAACAATGCCAGTAATGGCTGCCGCCAAAGACGAGAATGAATCCAAACTTTTACTCTGGATAACTCCAAAACAGTAGATTTTATCAAATTTATCAAGTCAGATTCGAATGAAGCATGTACAATTACACATAAATAGAAATATTCTGGAAATTTTTAATGCGAACTGAGAATGGGTGCTAAGCTACAAATTAACCAAAAATTTATTATTTTGAATTTTATGAAAAAAATTAAATATCAATATGTTAACTAATTAAAATCATTATTCAATCCATCTTAAAAAAAAAATACACTACTATCTGTAGAACCATATCTCTCTTGCCTCTAGTCCCCCTCTTCATCTGTGAAGAAATTGTCCAGAATTCAATGCCATAAGTATAGCTAGCCAATCTTTTCAGAATATGCCTGTCTGCCAGAGTGGCTACATAATCCCAGTTATATTCATGTTTTTTCAACACCCAGCGCCAACCTTTTACTTATACTGAAACTATGCTGAGCATGTCTTAGTTTCTGGGAGTAAGTACATAACCTGGCAGGATCAGCAATTTGAACAAGGCCAGTACATTCAAACCCTCAGTTACAATGACTTGTAACTTCATGCTAACACAACAATTATATGATTTGATTTGATTAATGGCATATCAACTCATTATGAGTCATTTAATGCCAAAATTTAATTTTCTTGAGAGCTTGGAATTAATATATGTTATTCTGCTTTCACAGTTGAATACATGGTAAATGATACTCAGCTTTTGTGCAGACATAATTACTAGAGGCAGTGATATGTATGTTTTATGTTGTAGTTTTGTTGAAGTTATATTTTAGAATACAGTTTGATTTCTTTAAGAGATTGTAGGATATTATATGGATTAATCTCATGAAAGAGTTCTTCCATGTTGCTTGTTTGGTCGGTTGATTTTGTTTAGTGGCATCTCAACCTCTATGGGTTATTCAATGCTGAAATCTAAATATACTGAACACTTTAAGTGTATGCCTTCAACTATAGATAAAATGTATTGTTGGTTATTTTGATATAAAATGTATTGTTAGTAATTGTTGTAATCTAGAAAAGGTTACTGAATGAGGAATAACCAAAACGGAGGTTGGAAATGAAATGGTAACATCAACAAAATACAATACTCGCCAGCAGCATGAAGTAGGTAAACCACTGCTAATGGTGAACTACTTAGACAGCATATTACCCCCTCTTACAAGAGTGTCCAACATATTTCTGAGGATTGGGACATACCCTTTAGTGTTCATAGGTATGGTATATAACAGTAATTCTACTATAGAAGGTCTTGCTAGTCATTTTGCTATAAAATTGTATTGTTGGTAAATTTTTTTATATAAAAATGTATTGCTGGTATTTTTATACTTTCATAGATTTTTGTTTTTGTTGGGGGGGGCACTATTTGCCCATAACTGGGGCCCTAACAAGTGCTACCACTCCAGGTCAGAGTGAACCTGGGAAAACAGCAATTAAGAGTTGGTTCCACGCTCTTCAAAACTTCCAATATCCTGACTAGAGGCCTTGCTGCTGGATGTAGTTTATCATCATACCCAGGGCTACACAACCACTGAATTGCTTCCATGATGTATCATGACACACTAAATCATTCTATATCACACAACACAGAACCATTACACATCGCAACACATACAAACCTACGATATATCTTTAGTAATATTTTAAACTACCTTTCATTGCCAAAAGAGCATTACCTATTGGATACAATGGATTTTATAAAAATAAAATGTGTGTTAATGATGATTTTAACAGACTAAGTTGGGCAATGCCAAGTAACCAAGCTAATCAAAAAGTCAACTACCCACCTGAGAACTGGCTTTGCTTCTCCAGCACTGGATTTTTGATTCAAGATTCTACGTTCTGCTGCTAGGGCTCTCTGTTGACGAGAAATAAAATGTTTTCAAAGAAAGATTAAACAATTTGAACAAAATTGTGCTGAGAAACACACACACATATATATATATATATATATATATATATATATATATATATATATATATATATATATATATATATGAGAGAGAGAGGTAAACTGAGAGAAAAAAGAGAGATACAGGAAGAGAAGAATGTAAGATATTTACCAATGTGGAAAGATCAAAGAATAACAAATATCAAGACATTATTAAAAAAAGACACAACATATAACCAACTAAGGACACAAAACCATGTGCTGATGTAGATTTGGCTAACAAACACCTTATCTCTTTTAGCTTATCTTTCTCTCTATTCTACATGTAAATAAGCATAGGACTACTATTAATTATAGAATAGTTATGTTTTTCTACTACTATTGATGATAGATCATTAGCCAATGAGTCAAGAGTAGCCGATAAGGAATAAAACATATCATCTTATAATTTCAAACAAAATTTACTATGGAGAATTCAGAAATCAGTGCACTTTCTATACATTTTCGCCTTAGTAAATCACCTCTTAATTAAAGCATTTTTTTAAAACCAAAATTATAGTCAGATTTATTATTATGATGAATGACTAATGTATTGTGTGTGTTGTTTTGCAAAAGGTTTCTTTTGCATACAAATAATCTTTCATTGAAATTCTTCAAAGTCTCTATGTATTTTTTGCTGCACTGATTCACTGAGATGGATGTGGGATGCCAGAAATTTTAAAATCTAAAATTAAGTAGTGTATCCAAAAGCAGGCACAAACAATGGCAACCAGTAGCAGAGGCAGAGTATGTATCACCTGGGACAGTCCTTGAGCTTGTCGCCCCTCTGTCACCCACAAAAAAATACAACATATTACACTCCCTCCTTATATATATATATATATATATATAACTATTAAGAGGCCCAAAAAAGCAACACATACTTTCTGTCGGGAGAAATAACTGGAATTTATATAATAATCACTAAGATGTTTCTTCCATACAGCATTAAAAGAACACACTCTGGGTCCATTCACACCCAGGGCAACCCTTAAGCTTGCTACCCTTCCCACTAACCCTTGACCCCAGTGACTCTCTTTTATTCATTTACATATATATCTATTAACAGGCCGAAAAGATGCAAAATAAAACAACACATACTCTCAAATGAACTTCTCTCAAGGAAAATAACTGGAATTTATATAACAACCAAAATGTGTCTCCCACACATAGTGGTGCTGTGGATTAAAAGAACAGACCTTGGATTCATTCACAGGTTTCTCATTGTCAACAATGATAAAACAGTCCTTGATACTGGATAATGTTTACTGTCTAGTCAAGATAATAATTGCTTAAATACATATGCAATAGTTTAAGTAACTCAAAATTGAAAAGATCCTTGAACTGTGATTAGTGTCTCAACTTTAAAAACCACTTTTATTTCAATACAGCAGATACAATAGTGCCATCCGGGGAAGACCTCCCCCCTTGCACCCCCTTTAACTATGCTACTGATGGCAGCTCATTGGCCACATCAGGTTAAGTGTAAGTCTTGAACTAAATGAATTGTAAATCACATTTTAAGGATACAGAAATGATTATTTTTCTTTGATTGAGATGAAGTCACATGGGCCATGTGACAGTTGCTTAATTGCGACAAAAGTGGCAGTCCTTCAGTCAGTATCAAGGAGTCAAACCAAACAGTTGTCTAACCTAGTCTTCTGCCAGAATCAACCAACTGCCACATGGTGCAGCTTACAAGCCCAAGGCACTGTTATGGAAATATGTCTTCTCCAGAAATAGAAAGAAACTTGCAATCCTCATATCGGAAAAAAACCAAAGACTCACTGTTTCCCAGTTTGTGGAATATGTCCTCACAAGGAACATAGCAGATAAATCCAGCCAGCTCAAATCTGGAATCCTAAATATGGCTTCTCCAGAAACACAGAAGCATCTCCATATTATATGTAAGACCCTATCTTTTTGTTTTCTTTTCACACTACTTGTTGTGTAGACATATGTTGTAGTTTCTCTGTGTGGGACAAGTGTAAATATTTAGACATAATTTGTATATGACTAAGCAGTATAAAACTTTCTGAGAACCAAGCATGTTTGTCATTCCTTTTGTAAATGTAAATTCTGGATAAAGTCTCAACTACTTTCATATCTAATGTGGCCATTTCATGTCAGCTACTGAAAAAAATTATTTCATCAACTATTTATTATCTGAAATAGGCTCAGAGACAGTTGTTTGGCTAATGAAAACTGGTGTCTTGATTAATTACAAATTGCAAGTTCAAATTCATATTTATCTCTAAATTTTGTGTGAGGTGTGCCTCTTCTCGGATATGTGAGCTTTATCCATTTTTGAACTTGATGAAAATGTCCGATTCACAGACTGACAAAATTTGGAGGTTCAACAAGCAACCCCATACACACAGCCCAACCAGATTGGTAAAAATATTTCATATCAAATATTTTGGCCATGTGACTTGGCAACATGATTTGGTGGTTTTTATCTGTTCATCCATGTTTACAGGAGCAGCAGCATTCATTTGTTAAATTTTATTTTTGAGCGTGATGAAAATCGAAGGTATGAGAATTGCATTATACATAACTAAATATGGTAACTCAAAACACATCTTCTAAATCCAACCAACCTTTTCTCTTTCCGAAAGGTTCTTGTAACGACGTTCCTCTTCAACCTGTTTGGCTTTAAACTCTGATATGATCTTTGCCTCTTGTTCAACCTGTTTTTTCACCTGCAAAAATTAATGAAAGAATTCATCAAAACCTGTAAAATTCACACGTGAAAGTAATTTATTGTCTTTTTTTGTTTGTTTACAAAATTTGCTGTCACTTAAATAAAATTTAAAGAAATCATTTTGTGAAACAAATACATTAGAGGCTGTGTAACACTATTTGGGTTGCTGGTAATAATGACTTGGAATATCAATGAAAAAACTAGCATGGAAAGGGTTAAAAAAAATATCAAGAATGATAGACTGATAATAATTGTTTGCAGAGAATCGAGATTTATACAACAGACTAGGTGACTGGCTGAAAGCAATGCTTGGTTTGTACAAACAGGCCAAGTGTTGACAATCTTCAGCAAAAGAATGCCTGAGAGATCGACATGAGGAGCATTAGGTTAAACCAAATGAAATCATTTTACGAAACAATAAATTGAACACCTGCAGAAGATTTCTTACTGACTCCTCTTGCTCTGACTGTTGCTAGGACTATCACACAGGCAGCCTTATTTGATTCATCATCTTTTTATTTATACCTGGTGTTTACACTTGTTAGTAGACACAAAATGCGCATGAATATCTAACAGCAAATTGAAGGTCGCGCTGAATGACAAATTGAAAGACATGGGTCTAGTTGATGTCACAATAATGGCAGTGGTCACCCAGAGCTCCATTCTTTGACCTATATTGTTTATCATCTTCAATAACCTTTGACCTACATTGTTTATCATCTTCAATGACCTCTGACCTACATTGTTTATCATCTTCAATGACCCCTGACCTACATTGTTTATCATCTTCAACAACCCCTGACCTACATTGTTTATCATTTTCAACGACCTTCTCAATGTCATCAGCTCCTAACTAGGTTTAATTAGTTGTTTTTGTTTAGTGGCATATCAACACCTCTATGAGTTATTTAATGCCAAAATCGAAATATTTTGATTTGTTTAGTTTGGTTGTTTTTGTTTTCTTTAGCATATCAACACCTCTATGGGTTATATAAGGCTGAAATCTAAATATTTTGAACACAATTGCATGCCTCCAACTACATATAAAATGTATTGTTATAAACATGTTCTGTTGGTAATTTTACTATAAAAAATGTATTTTTATACTTTCAATGGTGTTTTGTTTTTGATTGTGATTTCATTATTTTCTCATGGCTGGGCCTTAACATGTGTTGTAATTGCCATTTGTTAGTGATATATATGAAAACATGATAGCAATATGACCATGTGTAGATTGTTTTGTTCTACTGACATAAAGTGGGGGACACGGACTAAATTTGGCCTTATGCGAATTTGTAAAATATTACTGAGCTTTTCAAAATAAAGTGCTTGTAAAATACCAAATGAATGGCTTACACTCACCATTTAAAGTAATGATAACAATTTTGGAAGTTTTAAATTAGTGTGGTCATTCTATAGTTACAGATAATGGCTGGCTGCTCGTATCTGAGCATTCCTGTCTACTTAGGCAGCTAGCCAATCCCTAATGCAGGTGTCTTCTCAGGCACATTTGTGCCTCTTCAACACCCAATGAGCCCACCTGTGGTTTATACTCCAACTATGTTGAGCGGACATTAGTTACAGTTTCTGGGAGAGAGCACATTATCTGGCATGATCAACAATCTGAACAAGTACGCATAAACCCTCGATCACGATGACTTGCAATTTTGTGCTAGCACAACTATCGATCCCAAAACTAAATAGTTCCCATCTACCCAATTTCACACAAAAGGCTTGGGTCAAACCATGTGTTTTTTTTTGTTTGTTTTTTTAGTCCATTTCCAAAAGGTGCCACACACTGGGATCACCTCCCCAGGCTGATTGCATCAAGAAGCCACTTTCCGGACAAATCGACCCTGGTGAGATTTGAACCTGGCTCTTATGGTTTGAATATTCAAACCACTCAGCCACATATCAATAGTTCTTACTTACATTATTTACATTATTCGGACTATTGTCCTCATCTTTGTTGCCATATTTATTACAACGTTTTGGCCTTTCAGTATCTGTCTATATTTCTGAGATGAGGTATGTACACTATTTACATTATTCGGACTATTGTCCTCATCTTTGTTGCCATATTTATTACAACGTTTCGGCCCTTCAGTATCTGTCTATATTTCTGAGATGAGGTATTATGTAAATTATTTACATTATTCAGACCATTGTCCTCATCTTTGTCACCATATTTATTACAACGTTTTGGCCGTTGTACGCTCCGGCCTTCTTCAGGTGGTTGAAATGTCGAAGTGAACCCTTTTTTTCGTTCACTGGGTTAGACTGTTCTAGTTCCACATCAGTTATCAGTTATCTCCTGTTAATTTCCCTCTGAAAGTTCTCCACTGCCTTAACCAGGTATTGAACTCACACTCTTTAGGTCTTGTCACTGGATCTAACTAATGCATTTATCCACTGTGCCAAGGACACATGGCACAGTGGATAAAGAGTGTGAGTGTGAGTTCAATTTTTTTTAATCATTTCATCCCAAGTAAGGTGATAATACCACTAAGATGCAAAGGGTTATTGGGAGTGAAAGAGAATTAAAAGACTTTACAAAAGGAACCAGAAACTCAGTACTAAACAAAGAACAAGGGATAAACCTCTACTCCTGTTCAAAAGACTTCGAAGGAGTGTGAACTGGGTAATAGACAAACCTATCTACTCCTATTATGTTGTTAGTAGTATTATTTAAAATTCTTCATCTTCTATTCCCACATATACACTCTTATTCACGCACTAATAAAATAGTGGAAAAGAGTTTTCAGACACTCACATCTCAACTTATAGTTAACGACATCTAATCGGAGTGAAAGAGAGACTCGTGTGAGGCAAAAGAATGAAAAAGAGGCAATAAAAATTGGTGATTCTCACACTGAGGTCATTAACGTCTGCTGGATTTGAAATTTCACCCAGTTCCAAAAGAAAAAAGAAAAAAAACATCATTCAATATAAAGAATTGGCAAATGCTGCAAGAGCAGCAGACAATTTTCCAAAAAATACTTTGTTCTCCCACATTTCAAGCAAATAAAAACATGAAAAACATACAAAGCATATCTTTGCCATCACTTACATATAAAACAAAGACTGTGTTTTGGGAAAACAAATGGTCGACCAAGGTATTTTTGGAAGATAATGTATTTAAGGCAAGCAGCTTTTATTGTTTGATTCATTCATTTTTTATGACTTATCAACCTTTTGCAGGTTATTTAAAACTAGAAAATATTTTTAGATGGTAAGAATTTTTTTTTTCAAAACAATATTGGTTTAGTGATACAGGTCTTACTAATTAATCCATAGCTGGTGGGAGAAGAGCTGAATTCATACCTAATCAGATTTTTAAACAGGAAATTAAGAAGTGGATATATACTAGGGGATCAGTTCTATATTACAATCAATATATAAACTAATCCCTCACTTTGTGGCCACGGTAGTTTCCATACATTCATATTCCAGAGAATGTAAATAATTCTAAAAGACATCAGTGTGTAGCTAATCAGTATTTTATTTATTGATTAATCCATTTTCTATGTCTTATCAACCATTTGCAGGTTATTTAAAGCCAGAAAATATTTCGATATTGTAAGAATTTTTTTTTTCAAGATAATGGTTTAATTAAAAGTCTTGTGGATGTGGGTTGTGGTGTAATTGATATCTGGTATTCAAATTCCACTCAAGTCTTTTACATTCACTGATGTGCAAATACCCTTGGAAAAGAGCATGAATCCATCCTATCTACCTCCAGCTATGGATCGAATAGCAGAACAGACTGGGTTCTATAGCCTTGGTTGACAGTCTACTGTAGAAAGAAATGGCAACCTACTCCAGGAAAATCTTCTGCCTAGTCAGTCACGGATCAAAAGAAACATGATCGCCCAAGCATATAAGGCACTTAACTGACAGATACAAATGTTACTAATTAACCGATAGGAAAGAAGAGGTGGATGCATACCTAATCAGTATTTGCTAAACATGTAATTATAACGTGGATATAAAGTGGGGGATTAATTCTATACGGCAATCAATAAATAAACTGATCCCTCATTTTGTGGCCACTGCAGTTTCTATACATTTATATCCGAGAGAATGTAAATAAATCTAAAAGACCTGCCCGTGTAGGTAATCAGTATTTCATTGATTGATTGATTTCTTTTCAATGGCTTATCAACAAACAAGAAATTATAATGTGGATATAAAGTAGGGGGACCAATTCTATATTAAAATTAATATATAAACGGATCCCTCAATTTGTGGTCACTGTAGTTTCTATATATTTATAGTCCAGAGAACGTAAATAAATCTAAAAGACATGCCCATGTCACTAATCAGTATTTCATTGATTGATTATTTTCTATGGCTTATCAACCCTTTGAAGGTTATTTAAAGCCGGAAAAAATTTTTAGATTCTAAGAATTGGAGGTGGGGCGGTTGATAATAATGGTTTAGTGATACAAGTCTTAGCTGGAGGGGAAAAGAGGAGGATTCATACCTTCCCCAAGGGTATTTTTGCAAGTAAAAATAATGAACCTAACAGGAATTGAAATTCAATTCTACAATTAACAATTCTGGGCCATTATCCTTTACACCACCTGCACATCCAAGCTTACAGCACCTGGTATTCCGAAGCAGTCATCTATTGAAGCACTGACCTGTTGCTTAACTTTGGTGATCATGCAAGAACTGGTGTTTCAATATGATGCCGTCTTAAACCTTAAGCAGTCTTTTTAATTATAGTGCTCAATATCAAAAGACAGAGCATTAATAGTAATAAATTAAATGTTCACTTATCTTGTCACTACTCAGAGTTTCAGGGAGATTATATCTACTTGTCAAGGAACTTGAATTTTACAATCAAGCCACCTGACAATTGGATGTATAAAAATAAAAAAAATAAAAAATAATAAAGTCAACTTACCCTCAAACGCTGCTGTTTGGCCTTTTTGCGAAGTGATTCCTTCTGTTTTTTTTCTGCCTCCATTTCTGGGGTCAAAGGTCCTGGAATCTGGAATAAGCAAAACAAGTTTTTTTTAACAGCAACTGTTGCATTTTATCGCAATGTCATATATTATCAAAAACATACACATGCTATGATATGATCATGTGTTGACAAATCTGTCAAATTATCAACCAATAAATGAATTTATCTATATTTCTCAGATGCAGTATTGTAACTATTTTTACTATTCACATTGTTCGGACTGGTGTCCTCATCTTTATTGTTATATTCACAACATTTCGTCCGTTCTACGTTCCGTCCTTCTTCAGGTGATATACATTGGAATTTTGAACCAAACCCTTATAATACAACTCTAGTATCATAATAAATCTATTATGGAATTAGGTTAAATGCAAAGCAAGGCAATAATGCCATTAAAACAGAGGGGGTTACAGGGAGTGAAAGTAAAAGTGAATGAGAAGACCAAGAATGGGGAGGATTGAGGAAAGGAAAAAAAAAAAAGGAACAAGATTCAAGAAGAAAGAAGACAAAAGATGGCGAATGATGTTGCATTTACATTGTTGAAGGTTGTAGTTATCAGGGAAGCAAGACATCAGAAAGGAGTTCTACAGGTGGGAAGTGTGAGAAAAAAAATTGTTGGAGTAAAAGTATCAGTTGCATCTTGCTAGTTCAACAATAAAACAGTGATACCTTGTTGCCAATTTAATAACACGTTGAATTCATGTAGTCGGAGCACCAGGGAAAACAAGATCATAAGAGCAGTTGCTATGAAAATATTTGTAGAAAAGACAGAGGGAAGCCATGTCATGTTGATGAGAATGTGACTGTAGTCGAGATACCTGGTCAGGATGAATTACATTACAGGCTCTTTTTTGGAATTTGTCAAGCATCTCAAGATGTACAGCAGGAGCACCAGACCAGATCTATCAACAGTATGTACGGATGAATGGTAGATTTATAAATGTGCAAGATGGATTCTGACAAGAAAAAATTTGGGGCACAACACATTGAACCAACTTTCCTGGCAGTAGTCATGGCAGTTAATTCAATATAGTCACATCATTTCATATCATAGAACAGATGTAAATTGAAAGGAAGTCTTCTCGGACAACAAATATGGCTGGTGTGATGTAAACAACCAAATTTTCTTTTTGCTTGGAATATACAAGGAGATGTTGATTAATTACCTGGGCTTTCCGATATCCGTATTTATCCGGATATTTCCCCATAAATCTACGAAATTCGTTTCTTGTTTCTTTGGTTGCAATGATGTAAGGTGGAATGCCTTTGTTGTTGCTGAAAAAGGTAGAAACTTATTTTGTTATCTTTGAAAACACTTTGCATATGAAGCGTTCTAGTGCCAAAGCATCGCAGTTATCAACTTGGAGAATAGAATCAGTGTTTATGCAATCATTACATCTGAGATTCTTATTGCTTATATCTAAATACAACTTCATTTTGAGAATACACATTTCTAAGTAAAATAAAAAAGACAGAAAACCCCCAAATCTTCCTCTTCAGTACAGATGGTGACAACAACAAATCAAGAAAAATACAGACACATATATATATATATTTTAATATATTTATTGTTTATAAGTTATTTTTGTAGAGACAAATATTTAAGTAAATGCTCTGTTTATAATAAACAGTATTAACAACATTTACTGGCCTGAATATCTGAGAAATTTCATAGAAAATATGGGTTCACTGACAGGAATCAAACCTGTATCCTACACGGAACCGTCATATAGCCTGACGTGCTATACCATTCAGCTACAGATGTATTGTATGGAAGTAGTAGGAATTCTAAGTTGTGCTAGAACTGTGGTTATGATTCCACATTAGTATGTTTTTTAAAAAACCATGTTACTACCATTGTTCAATAAGGTATGTTTCAGGCTAGGCATGAATTGTTTTATATAAAGAGCATGGTAGAGTAATGGTTAGCAACTTGGACTGAGGAATCAGAGAGCTGAGTTTGAATTTCAGTCAAGTTTATTATATTAACTTACGTGCTAATACCCTTGGGAAAGGCATGAATCCAACTCTTCTTGCCCCCACCCAGCCATGGGTATATAACAGAACAGACTGAGTTTTATAACCTTGGGCAGTAACCAGTCTAGGAGAAGGAAAAACTCTGAATTCAACCCAGCCTGGAGAGGGTTGGGTTCCATCAGGCTATCTTGCCCAAGACACACCACTTCTACTGTGGCTGCAGTACATGTAATGCCGCTATAACCTTAATGGGTTACAGGATTCATTATCAATGAAAGAGCGTCCATAATTTTAAAAAGTTGTTAACATTTAGGTTTATTTAGAACAATGGTGTTATCAACAAGAATTTTTCTAATTATGGCAGGTAGTTATTCATGAGAGTCAAGATGCTTTTTTATCGCATTGATATAATGTAAACTCTCTCTGACTGTAATTGATTGTTTAACAGCATATCAACTTCATGAGTCATTTAATGCCAAAATTTAATTTTGAAGTAATAAAAATATATTAGCTTTGAAGTAATAAAAATATATGTTATTCTGCTTTCACAATTGAATACATGGTAAATGATACTTAGTTTTTTTCTTTATAATACATGTTTGTGTAGATCTAATTACTAGAGACAGTGATAAGTATGCTTTATGTTGTAGTTTTGTTGAAGTTATATTTTGAAATACAGTTTAATTTCTTTAAGAGATTGTAGTATATTATATGGATTAATGTCATGAAAGAGTTCTTTCCTGTTGGTTGGTTGATTTTGTTTAGAGACATATCAACACCTCTATGGGTCATTTAATGCTGAAATCTAAATATTTTGAACACAATTTTATCCTTCCATAGTGCTTAGTTTGAGAATTCACTATTTACCCATACCTGACCCTAAAATAAGCTACCACCCCAGGTCATGGTGGACCTAACAACAACAGCAATTAAGAGGTGGTTCCACGCTCCTCAAAAACCTCCAATCTCCTGATCTGAGACCTTGTTATCAAATGTAGTTCTATCTGACAGTAAGTGTCCTTTTTGTTTCAATTATCATTAAAACTTCCTTGTTACTCACATGTTCAGTCTATGGTATTTAAACTAGTCAAAAATAGACAATCCTTCCTCTAGGAAATTCAATCAACTTAAGACTATTATATCTACTACTATAAAGTGTAAACCAGCAACAAAAATAAGTTGAAAAGAAGAACTAATTAGAAATTATAATGAGACAATAACATGGATGGATAAACCAATAAATTTTTAGAATGAAAAGGAAAGAGAAGTCATAGTCACTTACCACAAAGCTGGATCGGCACCTGCCTCTAATAATAAATAGAGAATTTCCAGCTGTCCAGCTTGTGCTACGATATGTAACAGAGTCCGTTTATCACCACCCCAACGCTCGTTTAAGATTTCTGGAAATTTGATATCTGCTGCCATTTCCAGATTAGAAGTGAAATCCTCAGCATTGGGATCAAAATCGAGACATTCATCTTTGGTGTCTTTAATCGCTTCGCAACTCACAGAAGCACTGTCAAGTTGGGTTGCATCAACAGACGATTCAGTATATGGCTTGGAATCAAGGTCTTTATCAAAGTCTGCAGCTTTTTCTGAAGGCAACAGACCTTTGTTTTCTTGGTCTGAAGCCGTCTTGACCAAAGATGCCACAGAAGGGGAGTTTGTGTCAGAAGCTAAAGACGGTAAATTTTTTTTGAAAATATCAGTCTTACAATCCTGTTTTTTTGGTGGTTCTGACTCCGTAGCATTTTCAACAAGCCAGGAGAGGAGTTTTTTCATCTGTGACACATTACCAGACTTGCAGGCATGATAAATCAAATTTTTCAGACGATCTTTTTCCTCTGAAAATAAAATAAAAACCAGTAAAGAAAAATAAATACGTAACTCAAGTCATTATGAAGCCAATTAGTTGCTATGATTATTGAGGTACAATTAAATTAAAAGCATCAATTTTTGGACAAAGTAGAATCTGCAATGTTATTGGCTATGACCTGGCATTTCTGCTTCATTCACTTTCCCACCAGTATAACAGTTTCCCTGGGCATATTCTATAATATTTACATGGTAATTGTCCTGATGAATTGTCATCTATGGTACCTAGACTTTATGAATATAAGCACAGTACAAGATTGGCAACATGGACGTAACAATTTACAGTCAATTTGGTTAGATGTAACTGTAAGTTCTATACTAACAGTTTCTTTTCTCACACATCTCACTTCTTCCCAGTCAACTTTGATCTTCAAAAATTTAAATGCAATGTCAATTGTTATCTTCTATCTTATTAATTCTTTTATTGTTCTGTCTCTTTATTAATGTTTTTTTTTTCTCATATTCTCTAACACTCAGTAACCCCTTCTTGCATCTTAGTGGATTTATTGCTTTGTTTGGGGTGAAATGATTGAAAAAAAAACAAAAAAAAAAAATCATTAACTGCATTTAGTCTAATGTGAACAATTAAACCTTTCAAAAGAGATTGATACACCTTAATAAGTAAAGAATAAGAAAAAGAATAACATTAATACTTACTTGATCCTTTCTTAACCGGTTTATAGTTGAATTTGTTGTTATTTTTATTTGGTTTATCATGACTGCAATTATTACTACTACTATTATTGTTTGCCTGGCACCCAAAATCAATTTCATCTTCCTGAAGGTGACGCATGCTTATTTCCATATCAACAAAGCATAATTCAGTATCAACCTCATCATCTGAACCAGAGGAAGAAGAGTCTGATCCTTTTGGGATTGAGTCTGTCTTTTCATCTGAATCTGAAAAATAAAAAAAAAAAGGAACTTAATTCCTATTTTTTTTATTGTTCTTGCTCCTTCTTTTTATCTCTTTTTTTTCTTCTACTCTTTCACACTCCATTTTAGTGGCTTTATTGCCTTGCTTGGAGTGAAATGATAAAAAAATAAAAATAAAATAAAAACAACACTGCATTTTGTACCCTAATGATTGGTTTTAGGTAGGCCTCAGGGTAGAGGATGCCAAGAGTTTAGTATACTAAACTAACACCTAAATACCCTGGTTTGACACACTCATCTCCAGACAACCCCAGAATTTATACCACTTAAATTGACTGTTCTTCACATTAAAAATAGGGAAGAATATCTTTTAAATAATTTTTATAGGCTCACATTCATCCCTAAGGCGCAACATGTCAAAATCAAAAAGTATTGACTCTACCTTGTTGTAGCGAAACTGAAAGGCAGCAATCTGTAGGTTCTGCTGAACTGACTACAGTTCACCGTTCTAAGAGGCAACAAGTGGCATACGTAATATGTAAGCAGAATAGTGGACGCTTACGCAAATGTAGCAACAGTCCCTGGCAAAATGAAATACTGGACGAACAAGGAAAGAAAAGAATGGCCTACCTTGGAAACGTCCATGAATCTGTGCGTCATGTAAAGTCTGGTTGTTCGACGGCAAAAAAAAGAATCAAAATGGTGGTGCCCATGTTTTATGACAGGTAGTCTCGGACAACTAACGCGAAATCTCGTTGGCTAGTGATTCATATGTAAATTATGGTCGGTCATCGGCTGTATAAAGCAAGCCGTCTTTTGGGAGAGAGAGAGGCGTTCTTGTTGGCGAGAAGCGAAGGCTGGGTGTGTGACCCAATTTTGCCATCTCTACGTGGCCTGCTGGATTGTTATATCGGACAGTCGTTGAACTGGATTTTGGCTACAAGTGTTGCGGTTGAGAGACGAATCTGTTGCAGACTTATTCCTACTGGAAATTGACACTCATTATTTGTTTTCTTTTCTTTACCAACACACTTGTTCAGAATATAGAAAAAATATGGATTTTTTTAAATTACTCTAGAAGTGGGGCACCTGTTGATAATATTGATTGATGATTCTGTTTTAACAGTATATCAGATCTGTCAAGTATTTGATGCCAAAAAGATTTTTTTTTATTTAAATCTACATCCTGTAAAGAATCCTTTGTCTTGTTGGTTCCATCACTTTCCAGTTATGCCTCTAGAATAGATTTATTTAGGGCTATAATTTATGGTATAGACCAACCTCCTTCAAGTAGGCTAGCATTATCTCTCCTTTTATCTTCTTGTAAAAAGTTCTCTAAACTCAGTTAAGTGCCATACGGGATACATGCTTAGGTGATCATGTCCCTTTCAATTAATGACAAGGCAGATGATTTTCCTTCAGTAGATATCCTTTTCTTTGAGCAATACACTGGTTGCCAACCAAGGCTACAGGACCCAGCCTGTGCTGCTATTGAACCCATAGCTGGTAGGGGAAGAAGAGATGGATTCATACAATTTGCAAGGATATTTGCGCATAAGTGAATGTAAAGAAACCCAAATGATATTCAAACCCACCTCTCCGATTTCTTAATCTGAGCCATTATTCATTACACCACAAAAACTCTAAACTAGTCATGTCATAAAATCGCTGATGTATAGGGGAAAAGGTCACTAAAATGGTTTAGAATATGTTTTACAGTATATCAACTTTGTTGGTTATTTAATACTGAAAATATTTTTTTTAGATGTAAAGAGTTGAGTTCCATCACTCTCCAGTTATGCCTTTAGAATGGAGTTATTTCATGCTATAATCTGTGCCAGAGACCAACCTCTTTTTCATAGTTTAGCATATTCTTTACTTCACTCTTCTTGAAAAGGTCCTCTAGATGCGGCTTGTCATAAAGTTGATGCTATAATTTATGGCATAGACCAAGCTCTTTCTTGTAGGCCAGGGTATTCTTTACTTTAATCTTCTTGAAAAGGTCCTCCAGATGAGTCTTGTCTTAAAAATCAATGATATATAGGAACAACGTTTCTCCAATCATTTAGAATATGGTTTACAGTATATGCTTCCTGATATGCTGTTCATTCGGGGAAAATGTTCATTTTTTTTTTTTTGAGAAAGAAATGGGTGATAAAGGTGTGTCCTATTGTTCCAAGAAAGTCTGTGACCATGTTGCCATTCTCCTAGAATGAGTTTAATTCTGTAATGTTTGTAGTTGGGTGGTAAATTCCATAACTTTTGCCATTTATTTAGAATGTATGAGTTTATAGTCGCTTTGATGTCTATATAGGGGATTTACAAATTTGAAATATCATATATATTTTTGAATCATGCAATTTTTGTAGCTAATTTGACTACAGTAAGTATATAGTTTGTCAATGGCATAGCCAAGGCCAGAAGTACATATGCTAATTTTATATCTCATGTATAATGCGAAAAATTAGCTTTAAAATTGGGTCTTCAAAAGTTGCATGATACGCGAGTATATGCGGTATTCATTTTTAGGGATTCCTTTCCTGCCATGTCAGCTTTTCCATGTCCAAGATGCCAATATGACTAGAAGACAATTTTTTTTTCTTGCAGATGAGATTCATTGATCCTATTTAGTAATTTAACTATTAAGGTATTATTTGAATTTTTGATTCACCGTGATATAAGTATAGATAGTGACAATAAGAGAACTATAAAGTTGTCTGGCTCATTGTTATGATGTCTAAAGCTAAGTCAATGGTTATAGCTTCAACTCTAAAAATTGAGGATTTATCAGGTAGGTGCTTTTTGATTGTTATGTCATCAAGAACAGCTAAACCATCTGAATTTGTCAATGTTTATTTAGTCATCAGCATATATGTGCTTAGAGTTTGGTCTCTCCTGTAAAATATTATCAATTTCTTCAAAAAAGGTCACAATATAAATACAGTGTAAGGTCAATCCAGGACTTCATAAAGAGTTATCTGTATTTTGTTATTATTTACAAATGTTGAGTTTGAAACTGTACTTACATCATTGCTGTGTACTACTGAAGTTCTCCTTTTACCCAATTCATAATAGTACACATTCATCAATGACATAAGCACAGTTTCCAACTTGACATTTCTAAATAAAAACAAAGTACAGATAACTCTAAGAAGTCAGGGATCCATTTGACACTGTATTTATATTATGAACTAGTCCCCCACTTGTAAAATGATTAAAAGATAATAATAATAATCAATATTTTTTAATTCTAACATCCTATTCTTAAGGGACAATTTTAGCTCGTAAAAAAGCCAGATTTCTGAGGTTTGGCAAATTGAGAAAAAACGTATGTGTGGGCTGTTGCTGTTTTTCCAGGGCTTTTCAAGACCTGGAAAAAGCCCTGTCAATTAATTTTCCAAGACTTTTCAAGGTTTCCAGGACCTGCACGAATGCTGTTCTATTCTAATAGTTTCTTTTCTCACAGTTCTCACCTGTGGAACTCTCTTCCAGTTTCTTCCTCTTCCATCAACTACAATCTACAAAAATTTAACCGCAACATCGTCTTCTGTTTCCCAAAATCCTGTTCTCACTGTCCTTTCTCCTCAGTAATATTTTCTCAGTTTTCTTTCACCTTTAGTAATCCCCTTGCATCTTAGTGGCTTTATTACCTTCTTTAGAGTGATTTTTTTTTTATTTTGTTTAGTGGCATATCAACCTCTATGAGTTATTTAATGCCAAAATCTAAATATTTTGAACACTATTTTATGGCTTCAACTAAATATATTTTGAATACAATTGTATGCCTTCAACTGCAGAAAAAATGTATTGTTAGTCATTCTGCTATCGATATATATTGCTGGTCATCTATATAAATAAATGTGAATGTCAGTGTGCCTCACTTTTTATGGTATGTTGGGTTACAGCCTCTTGTAGTAAAGTACTCCAAGAGGCTGTAGCACAACATATCATACCATTTTGGAATCAGGTCGACTCTGTGAGCAAATTAAAAACATTCTGGGCCATATCCCGATCTACAGTCCTGAAATTTTAGATTCCTAAGTTTTTATTACTGTGACTGTTTATGATAACAATTTTTATAACTTAGAAATAAATTTGGGAATAATTGTAATTCATTGCAAAAGTCGTCCCATGAAATAAAAATAATTGTTTGTACGGAAAGTAAGGATCTATGTACATCAAATTATCTTTAAATTAAGTGGCGGCAGAAGAATTATCATTGAACTTTTAAAAGGTAGGTTTAAATATTAATGCAATACTTAAATGCAGCGATCACTTTTGAGTTCTTCTGTAGTTTATTGTTGCCTATCACATATGGCAGCAGTATGCCTTGCAAAAATAAATATCTGCCAACAAGGGACCAGATTGCAATCAAAAGCACCAAGGCTGCAGCAATGAAAAGAAAGTCCCATTCAAATGAAAACCCATATCAAACGGCAGCCAAGAGAGCATTCAATGCTGCGAACATGCAAAGATTTAGGGACTCTGAAACTCCTCAACAAGCTGAAGGCCCAATCAAGAGCCAGATTAAATGCTGTCCAATAGGGCAGATTTTAAGCTAATTTTACTATCAATGTGTATTGCTGATATATTTATACTTTATTAGGGTTTTGTTTTTGTTTGGGAGTTCAATATTTGTCCATAGCTGGCACCCTAACAGGTACTGTCACCTTGCGTCATGTAATTAATCATACCCAGGACTAAGCTTGGAGTGTAAGGATTAAAAAACAAAAAAACTTGATTATCTATGAAGCTGTATTGTTCAAATTTTTTTTTTCGTCGTGGTAGTGGTGGTGGTGGGGGTTTTGTTTGTTTCTTTGATTTCTCTTGTATTTATAAAAATGACCTCCTTTGCATAAGCTAATATGTAGATGGGTTAAAAGTTTTTAAAAATATAATTTTGATATGAAACCACAAAAAAAAAAAATATATATTCCTTACTTTTGTTACTCTTGTGCATCTCCTGCAGCATTCCAACATCTTCAGAACCACTTGGACATTTCCCTCGGAGGTTTTTCTTCTTCTTCTTATCAAATATCAAAACTTTTCCAATATTTTTCTTTAATTGGGATATGTCGGTGACAATTTCTAACTGACCTGTGTCAGCGCTAAAATGTCGAGGTGGAGACCGTGGAACAAAGTCACGTATGTCACACTCATTACCTGCAGTGGAAAATAAAATTTAATAATAGAAGCACATTTTCATAAAAGCAAAATATCTGCATTTTTTTTTTTATTGGGGGGTTGGGATCAAAAAATAAAGTCACATTCACAGAATTTTTTTTCATATTTTGTCAGTCCAGCTGTAATCATTAACCTCACATATCATATTCTGCTTTTCTCCTTACTGCTTGGGCACTTATATAGTCTCTATTCCTTAGCTGCACTAATTAGGCAGTCATTTACATATCACTACAAAAAGGGTACTGAAACCCAAGCAAAAAGTGTATGACTTTCAGCTAAGAAATGAACATACTATTTCTTATATTACTCTCCCCGCCACAGACATATTTACATCATTTTTCAAATTTTGTTAAACTTTTTAAGAAATATCTGTCTATATTTCTGAGATGAGGTATTGTAATTATTTACATTATTCGGACTGTTCTCCTCATCTTTATTGCCATATTCACTCCTTCAATATCTGTCTATATTTCTGAGATGAGGTATTGTAACTATTTACATTGTTCAGACTGTTGTCCTCATATACGTTATCATATTCATGACGCTTTGGCTGTTGTACACTCCAGCCTTCATTAAGTGATTAAAATTTTGAACTGAACCCTTTATTTCATCCGTCAGAGTAGAGTGTTCTAGTTTCACTTGCCATGCCTCTTCCAGATACCTCAATTTCAGTTATTTCCCTTTAGTAAATCAACTCTCCAAGTTTTTGTTCACCTCTGCAGGTATTGAACTCACAACTCTTTGCATCAAATCATTGGGTTTCTTCAAGAACACATGGCCCAGTGGATAAAACTTCCAATCATCTGAAGAAAGCTGGAGTGTACAAGGGCCGAAACATCATGAATATAACAACAAAGATGAGGATAACAGTCTGAAAAATGTAAATAGTTACAATACCTCATCTCGGAAATATAGACAGATATTTCTTGAAAGGTTTAACGAATTTTGAGAAATAATGTGAATATATCTGGGAGGTGGGGGAGAGTAACATAAGAACAGCCAAATACTTCCAAGAAATGTCATTGCCATTTTATATTCTTTCTCAGATACTTTTATATGCATTCCCATTATTTTTCAAATTTCATTGAACCTTCAAAGAAATGTACACTATTTACATTATTCGGACTATTGTCCTCATCTTTGTTGCCATATTTATTACAACGTTTGCGGCCGTTGTATGCTCCGGCCTTCTTCAGATGGTTGCAATGTCAAACTGAACCCTTTATTTCACTCACTGGGGTAGACTGTTCTAGTTCCACGTTTAATGGATGTCAGTTGTCAGTTATCTCCTGTTAATTCCCCTCACCAACTTCTCAACTGCCTTAACCGGGTATTGAACGCACACTCTTTGGGTCCTGTCACTAGATCTAACTAACGCATTTATCCTCAAGGACACATGGCACAGTGGATAAAAGAGTGTGAGTTCAATACCTGGTTAAGGCAGTGGAGAACTTGGAGACGGGAATTAACAGGAGATAACTGACAACTAACATCCATTAAACATGGTACGTGGAACTAGAACAGTCTACCCCAGTGAGCGAAATAAAGGGTTCAGTTCGACAAAAAGCAACAAAGATGTCTCAAGTTTCACTTACCTAAGCTGAAGACAGTTCCAGTTGAATCCATAAATAAAGAATCCAATATATTGAAAAGCAGCTTCATAAATTAAAATGTCACCTAAACACTTCTTGGAACAATGATTCTTTTCGTTAGTATAAAAGTTATTAATTCATAAATTAAAATGTCACCTAAACATTTCTTGGAATGCGGACTCATCTCGGTAGTATAAAAGTTAATTCGTAAATTAAAATGTCCTCTAAACACTTCTTGGAACAATGACCCTTCTCGGTAGTATAAAAGTTTTTCACTCATAAATTAAAATGTCCTCTAAACACTTCTTGAAACAATGATTCTTCTCGGTAGTATAAAAGTTACTAATTCATAAATTAAAATGTCACCTAAACATTTCTTGGAATAAGGACTCATCTTGGTAGTATAAAAGTTAATTCATAAATTAAATTAATAAGAATAAAATAAATAGGAAAGAATATTTCACCATAACATTCGACTGATGCTAGCATTTCATGAACACGCCTTGTCTCGTTGTGCGTTGGTCGTCGTGTGTGGAAAGGCACAATACGAATACGTTGGTCATTCCGACTGAGAGGGCTTGATTTACCATTGAATAGCATTTGTTGGTTATAGCTGGGAGCTCTGAGAAAGATCAAATCACAACGCTTCAGATTATCAGTCCAACTGGTCAGCAACTCTTGAACATCCTGCAAAAAGGCACAATAACCCGAACTAGTCTTTGTCATTAATTTCCAACAAGTGGGGGGGGGGTATTTCATACTGAAATTAAAGTAAAAATGGGGCATTTTTCCCCCCATTTCTTTTCCCTGTTACTATGAAATAAGCTCTTTACATCATGAATATAAAAAGAAAAATTTTTTTTTTTCAATTTTAAGAAGGGGTCCAGTTTGCTATGTAAATTCATTGTATATTGATCCCCCTATTCAAACCAAATCAAAATAAAGGTAAAGGAAATAATAATAATAATAAACAGAAAAGTAAGCAAGATATCCTGAGACATGACCAGTGGAAATAAATGGTTTAGTTTGGAATTCTCTGTAGATTACCTGGATCGACATAAAACTTTCTTATGACCCCCACCCCCATTCAATGACTTGATGAAGTCTGAGTAGCGCAACAGTTAAAACTTCATGATAACAACAACAAGAGCACAATAGCAAATAAAATTTCAGAAAAGTATATTTTGGAAAGATTTTTTTCACAAAGAGAATTACATTGTGGTGAAAGATCAGCTATTTTAGAAAAAAATAAAAATAAACTCCTTCCAGTCAATGTAAATTAGTTTTTGAAATACAACAAAGTATTTGATTATTGGAAATATTAAATTTAATCTGTTAGCTTGAAATTAAAACTAAAATAAAAGCTTCAAGAAAGACTTTTTTATTTTTAAAAACTCATTTTAAACCTTAGGTATCATGTTTTTTGTGGAGGTCTGTAATTTAACAGATGAAGAAATTATATTTATTAAGATCTCATGTTTACAGATGTATTTAATTCAAAACTATGTATTTTATAATATGTTCAAATATACCAGTTTAAGTATCTATTTTTAATAAAATGTGTCAATAAATTGACATGTAATAATTTATAAAAAATATTTCCTGTATGTTTTTATGGAAAATGTTACTGATATATAGAAATATAAGGTTTGTGAAAAAAGGCACTCACATCATTTTCTTCAATTATGTTTTACAGATAAAGTGTCTGTAGAACAACATTAAACCTGTCATCAGGCTGTCTAGATGTCAAGACAGCTACAGTCAAGTTAAAAACACAGCTAATGTAGAATTAAAATATGCATTTCTGCTATATCTTAAACTTAAAGTAAATAATATTTGTTTCAAATAAGATTAATTATACTTTAAATAAGCAAATATTTCTCAAATAAAATTTCAGAAAAGTATATTTTGGGAAGATTTTTTTCACAAAGAGAATTACATTGTGGTGAAAGATAACTAAAATGGCACTGATCAGCTATTTTAGAAAAAAATAAAAATAAACTCCTTCCAGTCAATGTAAATTAGTTTTTGAAATACAACAAAATATTTGATTATTGGAAATATTAAATTTAATCTGTTAGCTTGAAATTAAAACTAAAATAAAAGCTACAAGAAAGACTTTTTTTATTTTAAAAATTCATTTTATATCTTAGGTATCACATTTTTTGTAGAGATCACTATATAAATATTAACTTTTTAATTTCAACTTTCAAATTTTATTTGAAATTTTCTATGTACAAATATGCTTTATGATCTGGTATGAGCATATTTTTTAGGGTGGGGAGGCTTGCATAGGAAGAATAATTTACAATGAATTTACATAGTATATTGACCAGCCCACCACCACAACTGCTCTTAAAGTTTAGAAAATTAAAAAAATCAAAAAAAAAGGAAATTATTTGTAATCTGGAGATAATAAAGATAAGGAAAATAATGATAAAAAAGGAAGAGGTGAGATATAAGTTAAATAAAGGGTTTATTTTGGAATTCTCTGTAAGTTACCCAAATTGACATACACCTGATGAAGGCCGGAGTGCACAATGGTTGAAACGCTGTGATAACAACAACAAAGATGAGGACAATAGTCCACATGTAAATAAGGTAACTAAAAATATACCTTAAATTTATTTTTTGTGGTTTAAACACAACACAGGAAAAAAATAAAGTAAGGATATGCTTTAAATAACAAATATTAACTTGAAATTATATGAAATTTTGTAAAATAAGTACAAAGATCCTATATCATCTTGAATGAGCACATTTTTTTTTTTTTGCTAGTGGTTGACGACTTGCATCGGGAGAACAATTTACAATACATCATTATTATGAACTGTTTGTCAATCTGTTATGGGATATAAACTAATCCTAATGACAAACAGGTTTTTTTGTGTGTTTTTTACAGTAAGGTTCACCCTGTACAAGGCCCAGGGGCCACTCAAGGTAGAGTGTCACATTAAGAAGTAGTTTATATGGATACGAAGGGAAGATAACGTTTAACTCTAGCCTTGAACAGGTTAAGATTGTAGTGATCGGAGAAACATCCTCTTGAGAGTAGGTTCCACAGAGCAGTGGTTTGAATGAAGAAGCTGTTTGAGTGAAAATTCCTTCCCACCGATGAAATACAGAGGGAATGTGGGTGGTTTGCTACTATGTAGGTGACCTGGTGGGTCCTAGCCATAAAAGTTAAACCTGATGGAACCAAGGAATGTAGTTCATTCAAGCACTTTCTATGGAAGTAGAAATTGGCTTGCCATATCCTCTCTGTGAGAGAGAAGTTGGAGGGTGGAAAATAATTTGTTACTCTCAAAAACTCAGAGATGCTTTTGAACACTATCAAGACCTGATCTGGCTGTGATAAAAGTAGATTAACTTCAGGCAACTTAAAAATTGCAACCTTGATTCTTGAAAATCTTTTAAGAACACAACAAAATATAGGATTGCATTCCAGTTTCCATTGTACACATTCTTCAAACTTACTTTGTTGAGTTTATTTCTACTAAACAACAATTCCTTGTAAGCATTTTTTTTCTTTTGCTAGGTGATCTCAGGGAGGTAATTAAAGTAACTATAATTAAAAATGTCTTTAGTTTCTGCCACAGTAGCTTCTTCTGCTGACTCCTATTTGTTGGAAGAACCTCTGTTTATGTCTCAGACTAAGAAGTCTTGACTTTCCAATGCCTTGTTGAATTTTCTCTCTCCTCAGACACCCCCCCCCCCCCAACAGGTATTCATCACAACTGAATGTAAGAACCCAAGAAGCTGTGCAATTTCAGAAATGCTCTGACCCAATCACATCTGGATTAAACAATTTTACTTTTATCAGTCACTGAGATTATTTTTTTGTCCATAACTGTAGCATTCAATAAAATGAAGTACTCAAGACTGGATTTACTGCTTATATACATTCAACCCTGAAAAAAACAATTATTATGAGACAGTAGCTGGCATTCTTTCTGCATGTTGTGACTCATCAGTATATTAAAAACAAAAAAAAAAAAACACACAGGTACACTGAAATATTGATCTTTGATTACTATATTATTAACACATGACCTACCTGAACAAGAGCTGACTCGTTGTATCGACGAAGACTGGACCCAGCCGAACGAGGAGCATTGCCCCTGCTATCCCTTGACCCTTGGGATTTACCTTGCTTAGCACGAACAGTGTAACGGTGAAAGGTTTTGTGGGCCACAATGTTACCGCTGAAGAAAAGAGGGAAATTTCTTTTATCATTTTATTAAAAATTCCATTTTGTTGTTGAAAAGTAAAAACTTCATTACTACGTCTATCACATAATTACTTCATTATGATGTCTATCACATCATTACTTCATTATGATGTCTATCCCATAATATTTGGAACATTTACATATGTTTATGTTGATTTTCAATCCTATTAGGAATGACTGCAAAACACTTAACCAGCCAATGCAAGCTGAATTTGAATTTCTTGGTTGTGTAGCCATATCCTTCTATGGCAACAATCTTGACTGAAATTGAGAGCCAATCTACTGCAATTTCGCATGTTTAAAAATGGCATCAAATAAATAAATCATAGAAATCTTAAGAAAGATGGTCCCTCAAGTGGGACTCTACAGACTGGCACGACAAAATCATAAATGTAGAGCTTTACCAAATAACAAAGACCACATCACTTGAACACTTGTTGAACTTACATGAAGTGGAACAATTACAATGAATCAGTCGTTAAGTCTGCTGCTAAGAATGTCAGTTCCATGTGTCAAGCTCAACAAGTTTTCTCACTAGAATCTATCTTACACATTTATAAGTCTAAATCCATGCATTGAACGTTGCTGCCACATCTGGTCTGACACTGCTGCTATATATTCAGAGATTCTTGATCAAATCCAAAGAAGAATCTGCATCTGTTATTGGTCCTAACCTGGCATCTCAGCTTTAGTCACTTTTCCACTGCCATAACAAATTCTTTGTGCCTTTTCTATAAATATGTTTATGGTAATTCTTCTGATGAGTTTTCCTCTTTGGTACCTTGACTTTATGAATTTAAGCGCATTACTAGGAGGAGGCATGGTGGAGTAATGAATTGCGGCTCGGATTGAGGAATCAGAGAGATGAGTTCAAATTCCAGTCAAATCCATTACATTCACTTATGTACCAATACCCTTGGAAAAGGTATGAATCCTCTTCTCCCTTCCCCAGCTATGGGCAAATAGCAGGACAGACTGGGTTCTATAGCCTTGGATGGCAAGTGATCTACTGCAGAAAGAAATGGCAACCTACTGCAGGAAAAAATCTGCCTTGTCAGTCATGTATCAAAAGATACATGATCGCCTAAGCCTGTATCACGCACGGCACATAACTGACTAACTAGATTTCGGCAGTCCTTTATGAATTTATAGTTCAAATTTAGATGTAAAAAAAAAATATGCTAAATGTGTAACTGTAAGTTCTATGCTAACAGTTTCTTCTCTTGCACCTTTCACTTATGGCACTCTCATGCTTTCCACTCAACTTTGATGTTCAAAAATTTGCATGCAACATTAAATGTTATCTTCCATCTTCTTAATTCCTGTTCTGGGGTGAAATGATAAAAAAAAAAAAAAAAAAAAACTTCTAACAAAAATGTGCAGCACATATAACTAAAAGAGAAAATAAAATAATGAAGCAGTTAAGAAGGCATGGTAGATTAATGGATAGCGGCTCGGATTGAGGAATCAGAGAGCCTGGTTCAAATTCCAGTCAAGTTCATTACATTCACTTACATGCTAAAACCCTTGGGAAAGGCATGAATCGAAATCTTCTCCCTCCAGCCACAAGTAAAGAGTAGGACAGACTAGGTTCTATAGCCTTGAGTGGCAGCCAGTCTAGGAGATTGTTGTAGCAAACCTACAGGCAATAATGTGTATGCCCCCATTCCCATAAATACAGTAGTGAATTACTGTACGTGGTCTAGAGTTGGAGGTTCATTGTTGAATTCATTTGACTCACTTCTAGCAGTTGACTACTACTTCTACATGCCGCTGGTGAATCTTATATGTGTTGTTCTTGTCCTAAGTATTATTGTTCATTACCAACCTTCGTTGATTATTCTATTCAGTAACCTTCCCTATGTTACAACCTCTGAATACAAAACTGTATATAGCCCTGGCAAAACACATACTATGCAGCTAAAAAAAGGATCGTTCACATTGACTTGATGATCCTGATTACAGTTTAAGTAGTTAAGTTCCCACATTACAAAAAACAAAAGGAAACTCATTTGTATTAGAGAGTGCTATAACATTTAGTGGACTTGAGAAGTCTAATTTCTTAAAAAGATTTTAGCAATTTCAAACTACAATGACACTAACTTTTCAGTCAAGTAATGCCAATTTTTTTCAACTAACCTAAATTACCATTATTACCAAACCCAGAAGGCAGGAGGAGACAATGGTTGAAACGTGATCATGATAATGAAAATGAGGATATTAGTCCAGCTCTAAATAATGTGCATCAAAGTATTTAAATGCTTTTGAAAATTAATCACTCCAGTCAATGAATTAATATTTCATTCGGGTTTTCTTTTCTTTTGGTTTAATTCACAAATGAAACAAAGAATTTCATAACAAATTTCATACACTCAATGTAACAACTATTATGGGAGAAAGGTAATAAATTTAATATTTGCATCTATAATTCATACACTGAACATAACTATTATGTTACAGGTGTAATAATTAAGCTTCTGTCCAATAATAAATTTAATATTTGCATCTATAATTCATACACTGAACATAACTTTTATTATCACAATCAGAATAGTGAAGTTCCAAATTTTTTCCATACATTTCAAAAAGACATCATTAAAAACAATAAAATTATCTACCATTGGCCAGAGTGATTTGAAGATCAAATAAAATCAACCTTTAATTCTCTTGTGAAGAAGAAAGACTCATCATCAAGAACTTACTTTTCAAAGATTGTAGCTGCAAAATGACCACCTCCAGCCAAAAGGACTGCCCAATACATAGAACCAGGTAGGTCATTCAATGTGGTCAAGACAGGCTTCAGAGATACAGGAGGGTTCTAAAAATATAAAGAATATATACACATATACATATACACACACACACACACATATATATATATATATATATATAGTTAAGTTACGAAGAACTTGGTAAACCAAATGGGTAATACCCTCCCATTCCTATATATCATTTCCGTTAAGTTAACCATCTAAATAGGTCACGATTAGATCACTCCTCCTACCCCAATATAAAACATGCTTAAGAGAAATATGAAATTTACCCCTCTCTATACTATACCTTGTCTCGTTGATCACCCTCCCTATTAAATTACAAAAATTACACTACCCATCAATTTCTAATCCCATTTTTCCTTTCATTTCATTGTTTTAAGTGTTACCTGATGATCCGGAGTCCTTCAAAAAGGATTTTGGTGTATTGTAATGGTACCTTAAAGTGGTCTGTTTTTTTCATTAAATATTTATATATATATAAAATCTGTGACAAAGTGGAAAAATTTTTGTGAAATTTTTTGTGCACTTTAGCGTAGATTTTCCTAAAATTGTTCTGATAAATAAGAATTTATATCATTTTATATATATATATATATATATATATATATATATATATATATATATAATAATATTAATCAATCATTATTTTTTGTTTTTTAATATGACTTTATTGTATTTCTATATATTAATAAACTATAAAAATAAAAGATATTGTCTTTCATTTCAAATAAAGAGAGAAACCTTTATAAATATTTCAAGAAGATCAAAATATAAACAAACTTTATCTTAAGGACAAAACTGTTTTCAAATTTTAAACATTACACTAATTCTCAAAGAAAAATATTGCTGATATATCAAATACCTTTTGTAGACAATTGTTATCAACACTTGTTTATTTTGTCTTTTATTATCTATATTACACGGAGTGTGTGGAGACACAAACTTAATCAAACAGGAAGTTAATACTTCAGCGTCTAACATGCAAATGATGAATACATGTTCATACGCATGTAGCTCGGTGCAGAACATCCGTTTCTTTCAACTTATAAAATAAGAAATTCAGATCGCATATTTCAGCCAATCAGAGAACTGCCCACCTAAAAGATTGGATAGCTGTTTGATCCAGCACTTGTTTCAACAAAAGTGCTTATGAAGGATCACTGCCACTGGAAGCCACGTTCATCATTTCTTTGATATATTTACAAGTACTCAGCATGTAGGACTTGATTTTTTTCAACTCATAGAAACATTCTTTTCTCTCACAACTACAGAAATATTATATTATACACTACTTTACTTTCACATAAACATTCAATATAAAATAACAGACAACAGAAATTAGTCTAATAATTTTTACTAACACTCGTACAGACATTTTTGAACATGAGGAACTTTACTCAGTCATCAAATACCAAAATTGTTATCTGTCTATATTTCTGAGATCAGGTATTAAAACTATTTACATTGTTCGGACTGTTGTCCTCATCTTTGTTGCCATATTCACAACATTTCAGCCAATGTATGCTCCAGCCTTCTTCAGGCGATTGGAATTTCAAACTGAACCCTTTATTTTGTTCACCAAGATAGATTGTTCTAATTCCACAAAATAAAGGGTTCAGTTCAAAATTCCAATCGCCTGAAGAAGGCTGGAGCATACAACGGACAAAACGTTGTGAATATGAAAACAAAGATGAGGACAACAGTCCAAACAATGTAAATAGCATAAATAGTTGTAAATTGTTGTTATATAAAAAATCAAAGTTATTAAATGTTATTTGCATTCTCTGTGTTCTTTTAGATCTATTTGTTGTGGAATTATTACAGAGGCCACAGGTCCACAACAAGTGCATTTGCAAACTTGCAGTTTCAAATAAAAGGTTTATTTAAACTTAGGCACTTGTGTATATTACAACCCCCTTTTCTGCCTTTAATTTTCATCCCAAATTTTCTTGCATTATGCACAAGAGAAGACATTCGTTATCGTTGCACCAATAATGCTATGTGGAATGTTTTAGCAGACTGTTTAAGTGAATAATGCAAATACTATTAAATCTAAAAGAAAAGAAAAACAAAAAACAGATCATGTTAATTGGTAAATGGATAAACTATAATAATTAGAATACAGACTCAAATATTATTCTATAACAATATCAATAATTTTGATGATTGTAAGCACTTCCTGTTCCACTAGAGAATGCTGGGAGCAAATGGATCAAACAGGAGTTGTTGAGTTCATATTGTGTCATCTCAGAGTTGCTTTAGCTTATTAGCAACCAGTTTAATATAATTTATCTTACCACCCTAAGCCCAATGGAACATGGTGTCAGAGAGACTTTTGTTCTAAAAGAGGAAAATAATTGTCTATTAAAAGAAAAGGACCGAATTTTAAAAAAAAATATTAAAAAAAATAAAAAATACAATATTGGAATGATCAAGTCAGCAGACACTGACAACAGGTTGCATATTGTAACAACTACCCAAAGAGATTTCAAAAGAAATGGGAAACATATTTCATTTTCAGGTTTTGAAAATAGACTTTTGAGAAAGAAGCCAATTAGTGATCATTACAAGGATCTTCTTCATCTTTAATAATACAAGAGAAAGTACTGAAAAAAGAAGTCGAGGATGAAAAATACAAACTCCAAAATATGTTTATAAAGTGAGTTATCACCCTTTGACTCTAACCAAAACAAACTTTGATTTGTAATTATTTTTTTTGTAATTTTGAAAGGTTTGAAATAATAAAGAAAATAAATTACTTTAGGGAAGGGGATATTTATAACAAAGTCAATAATATTGTTTATTATGATGACTAGAAGCATTTCCAGTCCTACTAGGGCAAAGGTTGACAATATTTTGGAGAGAGCGGGCTAGAAAGCTATGTAATCTCTTGGAGGAGGGCCATGATATCAAATGTACTATAAATTATATATATATATATATATATATATATATATATATAAAATAATAAACTAATAATAATAAATAATATATAATAAACTGTTTTAACCTCAGACTGCTCCGTCCAGAAGGCTACCTTCATCTGGAGGTTTGAAGAAAAAAAAAACGAAATTAATGTTTTATTATTTAAACAAGGTTCACCCACAGGATAACATCTAACATAATCAACAAAAAATACAAATTCCTTACTACAAACAAAATACAGTTATAAACGGCAAATTATTTAATGAGGCACTTGTTTCTGCTTATTGGTTGATAACTTCTCCACATCAGATGAAATATTCGTCAATAACAGGAGCAAAACATCATCTAAGTGGTCATTACCCAACCTTGTTCTTAAACAACTTTTAGTAGATTTCATTTTCAAAAAAAGCTCTTCAGAAGCATATGTACTTCCTAATAATAATAATAATAATACCATCATTTTCGCATTATTCAATCAGCTTTTATATTTTCCACTTGGCAAAACATATTTCTTGTAGAAGTCAGCAGTGAATTCAGAATAAAATTTTGATTTCAAAAGTCTTCAACTGATATTTGCTCCACATGTGTTTCATAAGGTGTATCAAATAATTTAATTTCCACATTGCAGGAAATCAGTAAAATGGGATGAAAACTCGCTTCTCAAATCCTGAATAGATCTTACAAAGATATCTGGTATTATCTCTTGTGAAACTGTACTCAATGCTAATTAGATAATTAATGTCCAGGTGTTAAGTTAATGGACTGGATAAAAATCCTTCACAAGTTAAATGTGGGGACTGGAGGTTGCTGACCTCCTCGAGAATACTGGGAACAAATATATTCACAATGTTTTGGCCATTATATGCTCCGGCCTTCTTCAGGTAATTGGAATTTTGAAGTGAACCCTTTATTTTTGTCCACCAGGGTAGATTGTTCAAATTCCACATGTCATGCCTCTTCCAGGTGTCTCAGTTATCTCCCTTAAATTTTGTTCACCATTGCAGTAGCCAGTTATTGAACTCATAACTCTTTGGGTCTAGTCACTGGATCCAACCAACACTTTTATCCACTTGAGAACATCAGTGTATGAATTTTTGGGACTTATAAACTTAATCTCTCAATAACTCCTTTTTTTTTTTTTTTTACTAGAGCTTATATTGCAATTTTTGTTGTTGTTGTTGTTATTATTGCATTTCTCTAGTACTCCTTATTACTGGTTCCCATATTGTATTTATTTCTATGCTTGGTCAGCTCAGAAGATTTTTGTGGCTTAGCATATGTGCTGATTCCTTGAGTTTTTGTATTTTCCAGTGGTGTTCTCCATTTCAACCTCAACCTACAGGGAATGGTGATCTCCCTTTGCCATCCATATGTGGTCAACTATGCTTGATTTTTCTATTTCCTTTCATGTTTCAACTTTATGATGTTCTCGTAGTCTTACCTTAAGGGGGAAGCCTGTTTCTCCTTTAAATTTCTTAACACAGTTGCACGGGATGCGAGTTCAATACCTGGCTACTGCAGTGGTGAACAAAAACTTAGAGAGTTGAGTTAAAGGGAGATAACTGAGGCATCAAGAAGAAGCATGGCATGTGAAACAAGACTAATTGTACCCCAGTGGATGAAATAAAGAGTTCAATTCAAAATTCCAATAACCTGAAGAAGGCCGGAATGTACAACAGCCGAAAGGTCATGAATATGGGAGTAAAGATGAAGAACACAGTCTGAATAATGTAAATAATTACAATACTTCATCTCAGAAATATAGTCAGTCTCATTTAATTTATCTTCCCACCCTAGACCCAGTGGAAAAAATGTGAAAACAATATTGGTAAGGATGTAACAAAATAGTTCTGCATTTTTGATAGTTTGAATAAATTACCATAATTCCCCATGTATAATACGCGTTTTTTTTCTAAAAATTAATAAACAAAATTAGGGGTGCGTATTATGCACAGCTACAAAAAAAATCTTTTAAAAATTGCTGTTTCATAGGTCGATTTCAGTTGCAAAAAGACTACTCAACACAAACATATGACAATTTGACACTAACATTCAGCAATTACAACCCATAAAGATGTCAAATACAATCATATGTACTTAAAAATACTTATAAATGTAATATAAAATAAGAATTATCATAAAACTAGATTAGAATAATATTGTTCTATATTTAAAACCATTTTTTTAAAAATCAGAGTAGGAAACACTGACCATAATGAAATTGGTGAGGTACAATTTATAAGGTTTGATTACCAAACAAGGGGTGTGTATTACATAGGTGTAGAAGCTTTTTCCCATAATTTCAGCACAATTTTAGAGGTGCATATTATGGATGAAGGTGTATTATACATGAGGAATTATGATAAGTCGAAGATAGAATACCTTGGCTTCTTCAATGGAATTGAAAACGGAAAAGGTATCATCAACATAATGATAATAAATAATAAACAATAAGCAAAATCAGGGGTGCGTATTATGTGCAGCTTCAAAAAATCTTTAAAAAATTGCCATAAAATGAAATAAGAATTATTATAAAACAAAATTAGAATAATATTATTCTATGTTTAAAACCATTTTTTTTTAATAAGACTAGAAAATGCAGGCTGTAATGAAGTTGGAGAGGTACAAATTATAAGGTTTGATTACCAAAAAAGGGGTGCATATTATGCTTGAGTAGAAACATTTTCCTACACTTTCAGCACAATTTTAGGTGTGCGTATTATGGATAAAGGCATATTATACATGGGGAATTACGGTAAGTAAGATTCTATTAAATATAAAGAAGCAGATCAATTTTCTCTTGTTATTAAGAAACTGATCCCTCAAGAATGACTAGATATTAATTTAATATAATTGAAAATTTATTTAAAGAGTCACATAATTTTTAATGATTTAAAAAATATTTCACATACTTTACAAAGAAAATAAGGAAATGAAGACTATTTACCTTTTTATGATATAAAATACAACGATAAACTGAGATCAGTTCCCCATTAGAGTTTTTCAAGAAGAGTTTTGGGTACTTTCTGCCATTGCTACCAAAAGGAAGGTCATCACTGACAAGGCATGAATCTACTGCTCCCTCTTGTTGTGTAAAAGGCACAAAAGGGACACCATGAGGCCCAATATCGAAACGGCTGAAGTCCTGATTGCTGCTGTCTGTGTCTTCGTCATCAGAATCAGAATCGCTACCAGAAATGCTGCTCGACAAGTTATCTGTTTCACAAAACAAAACAATCAAAAGTAAGATCACTTCTAATTTACGTCTGAATTTTAAACAATTATCGAGGTTCAGATTATTTAATCATTGTATTTATTTCTTTTCTGTTTTTTTTTCTTTCTTAATTCACGTTTCAGCTGTTGCAGTCTTCAGCCTTCTTCAAAATCCAGGCTTACAGCTATAGCACAATGAAACACCAATTCTCATCCAATCACCAAAGTTAAGCAATGTCAAGCCTGGTCAGTACCTAAATAGGGGACAGCTTGGTGTGTGCAGTTAGTGTAATGGATAACACTTTGGAATCTGAAATCAGAGCCAAGTTTTAATTCCAATCAATTTTGTTATATTTACTTACACACAAATGCCTTTGAGAAAAGTATGAATCCATTTCTTCTCCCTCCAGTTATGGGTTAAATAGTTAAACTTCTATGAGAAAAGTATTATCGCCCAAAAATATGTTCAGCTTTAAATAACCTGTAAGAGATTTCAGGTGAGGCAGTTTTATGTTCACTCTATACTAATGCACTTGGGAAAGGCATGAAGCAGTCTTTCCCTTAGGTAACAGGTATATAACAGAGCAGACTGGAATCTCTAGACTTGGTTTGTCAACCAGTCTAAGAAAAAGAAAACTCTAGATTCAAAATTGAAGAAGGTAGCAGAAAACCGATCCACTATCTTTCCCAAGAACAGCCAGGAGAATGCACAGCCAAGGGTGCACTGTGCATCCATCCTGAAAGAGGAGAAGGAGATTTCAGGATTCTGGAATTGTATTTGAAAGAACAAAAGAGAGAGAAAATCTTGGTAAATGTGTGACACTATTTAGCTATGGTAATTAACTAATTAGCCATAAAAATTGAACGGGAAAATGCTGAAAACAGAAAAGAAGGGTTACAAATTATCCTGAAGCATATCTTGTTTGACAAAAAGATTTCATTTTCTTTTCCAAAAAGTCTATTTTTCTAAAGAAACTGAAGAATTGCATCAATGATAATTTCACAAAAAGCAATGTAGCAATCTCTGACAATTGATTAATGATGGCCGTTAAAAGTGCTGGTTAAGAAAACACAAAGTAACCAGAAGCGACAAAGATATCGTGCGAGAATGCATAGATATCAGGAAATGGCCAGACAAGATGACCATGTGTTAATTGTAGGAATTTTGGCAGAGCAAAAGACGAACTGCGTAAACAAAGTTCCAGTTGATAATTCTAAAACTGCATGGATAAGAAATCCTGAATAAGCAATGGTGTCAAAGAATGAAGCAAGCTTAGCCACACCAACATGACCAAGCGCCATTGGTCATGTGGTAGCAGTGGTGAAGGTAAAATAGTAAGAAAGACGGAGAAGTTACTAGCGCCCACTGAAAGGAATTGGTGTGAGGTACTAAAGTGAGGAGGAGAGAGTTTAGGAGGATAGCTATCCTGCAACCTCTCCTCATGGACTAAAGGACCCCCCACCCCAGAATTAGGAAGTAATTAATTTTCCAAAAATGGGAAGTAATTAATTTTCCTAGCCAGACAACAAAGGGACCCTTATTGGAAATCAGTGATTCACCGAAAACCCCAGGTGGCATCTAACCCTGCACTGGTTTTTTGGTTGAAGTCCATAAAAGAAAGCGCCCTTGGGCAGTGTGCCAGTTCAAGTTGCAGTCAGCAGTAGGAGCTGCTATACAGAACTGACAGAGAGATTCCAAGATTCCTGCCTCCAACTGCCTTCTTATAAACAGCAAGTTATACCAACAAACGAAGCTAAGCCAGCTCTTAAAAACTAAACCAGTTGACTTAGAAGACCAGAACTTGCCTGGAAGTATAAAAGTGTCACTCTCAGAAGAAACGGGTTGAGAAGAAAACACACTCCTGTATAGAACAGACTGATAAAAGTTGATTTGCTTTCTTTAAACATACCCGAACCTTTTTGGTTTTAATTTTTTTTTTTTTTTCGCTTGTGCGACATCATCCCCAGTTTAGACTCACCTTGCTCTATGGCCCTGGTGCCTGACTGATCTCATCAACCTAAAATCAAAATCACAACATAGGTAGGTTAGACTTGAGATCAAGGTAGTTACTTCAGTAACTAGTCACTGGCAGCGAGCTGAGAATGATGGAACTGGTGTCGAACCAGATGTATCTGGTGTAAAGCCGTTATGTATTTGTGACCGACCATTCCATTTGGTACCCTGACCAAAAGATCCTACCAGGTCACATATTGGTGGCAGTGACTAAGAGTCGAACCCAGAACGCCCTAGTAGGTGTCACAGATAAATCAACCAGAGAATTACGGGAATTTCATGAAAAGTCTTCAGTCTTGCCAACATGAAGAGCCAAAATCATTCAAGTTTATTTTAAATAAATTGATTTGTCATGTCTTGTTTTTATATATATATATATATATATATATATATATATATATATATAGAGAGAGAGAGAGAGAGAGAGAGAGAGAGAGAGATAATATTAGTGGTAAATATACACGTACATATGCAATGATATATCTAAAATATATACATAAATACACGTACATATATATTTGTATAAAAAATAATTCCAAGGGGATAGAATACAGGTAGAACTCAATGTCCAGGACAGAGTAAGGATATAATAAAAAGGCTTAAACACTAATATTAGTGTTTAAGCCTTTTTATTATTCATTATATATATATATATATATATAAAAACAAATGCTTAGAGGTACAAAAATAGAGGTATACTGTTTTAAAAACAAGAAATTTATTAATGGTAATAGTCCCTAAGGCCCTTTCGTCCAACATCTCATCAGGAGAAAATCGTTGGAAAAATTAATAAATTAAACCAAAAGAACAACAACGAAAATGAAGAGCAAAAAAAAAGGGGGATGGACATGCTAAAATCAATAATATATAAGTATATATACTTATAGCGAGGGGAGGGGAAATCGTGTGTAAATAATTAGTGAGGGACAGTTAAAATAAAATATCCCCCAACAAATTAAGGGACTTCACAAAGTCCTTCTGCCGGCAAAGAGAAGGTTTCCATAATCCTATACAGATTGATTCCAAAATCTTCAAATGATTGTTGGAACCAGCTCTAGGGATAATTTTGAATCACTCTTTCATATACAACTTGGAACAGGCTATATTTTCAACTAGGTGTTGAGCAATAGCCAATTCCATATTTGTAGAGGGAAGATAACACATGTTATCTATTTTGCCATATTGTATTTTAGAAGGTACATGTTGATTAATTCTTGTTTCCAAATGCAAGGTTGTATGCCCCACATAACCAGCAGCGCACTGGCAATTAAATTCATATGCCAAATTACTTAATTTGATGTAGGGCAATTCATCCTTTTGCATTACTAGATGATGTTCGATGACTTCAATGTGTTGATTGTCTTCATCCAATTATGAAAGAAAATCAGTTCATTAACAGTCCAAAGTTAATTCTTTATTTTGTCCACAAAATAATTCTGGGTATCAAATTACTGCTTTTTCTCACTATACACAGAAAACATAATCTGTGATCTTATTGGCACGAAGATTTTTTTCGACAACTGAATTTGCTTTTTAATTTTTTATTAAAACATGTTCGAGAGAGAAAAAAGTTCACCTGGCCCAAGCAGCACTTTCCAGTGTTGGCGTTAGTTATCTTATGAGTCTTTGATCTGATTCCACATATATCCATTTTACGGGGCCAGGACGTCTTGCTTGAAATGAGACACTGGTGTATCTTGTGTTTCAAGGTAACAGAGAGAAATAAATAAGGAAGACAAACACAGAGGTAAGTAATGAAATAGAAGGTTTACTACACACAGGTACGCTTAGCAATTGACCTAATGCTAACTCTCCTCAACTCTGTTTATTTATATAAATGTACAATTCCATTCATTTATGTCCCATATGACAGATGTGCAGCAAAGAAAGAAAAAAAAGAGAGGAGGAAAGAGAGAAAAACATAGATATCTTATAGTTACTTCTAATACAGTCTATTTGTACCCCCCTCCTTTCATTATGATAATAATTAATTCACTTGTACATTGTTTACGCATAACAAATGTCAATACACAAAAACAAGTTTTTTTATGTTTCAGCTTAGTAGAATAAATTTGTCTTGGTAGATCCAACCACCTGAGACAACATTCTTCTAGATGAGGCTAAATACGGTAAATCCAGGATTAAAATGTAAACATTTCATATTGATACTTACCTACAATTTCATAAAATTCATTCTCACTGATTGGCGGTATACCACGAAGTTTCAGCTTGAGATTATATAAATGCCAATCAGAACGAAAGTGTTGACTCTGTAGAAAAATTATAAACAATCTCATTTCAAATGTGAAAAACAGCAGGCATGTAATGAACAAAAGAATATATTTATCTTCTTATTAACATTTATGACAAAGATTTTACAAGCATATTGATATAGTGAAGCTGTATTGGATCAATGTTTATACACAAGTTACTACCAAAACGTTTCAGGGACTTACAGTCACATCATGCTAAAACACCAGTTCTCCTTCAACTACTGAAGTTAAGCAACATCAAGCCTGATGAGTAGCTAGATGAGTGACCACTGTAAGCAAGGACGTGAGGATTATGAAATGGATAATGGCATGGATTATGAAATGGATAATGGCATGGAATTGGGAATCAGAGAGCAGAGTTCCAATTCCAGTCAGGTTTGTAATATTTACTTATATGCAAATATCCTTGGGAAAGATTTGAACTCGTGTTTTCTCTCCCCAGCTATGGGTTAATTAGTAGGACTTGCATCAGTAAATAATTATTATCTCAAAAAAATTCTTACAATCTAGAAATATTTTCTGGCTTTAAATAACCTGAAAAAGGTTGATAAGTCATAAAAGACAAATCAATCAATCTATTTTATTTATAATAATCTTATTTTTTATTACTTCTAGTCTTTGGTGGAATCGTCTAAGTTGTTTTTTTCGTACACATTCTTTTGAGAGAAGTGTATTTTTAAGGCGGCCAGACAATTTGCATAAAAAATTGTTACATATGTAAATCTTTTTAAGTGCAGTGGTTACATTGGAGTAATGGATAGCAGCTCAGACTGAGAAATCAGAGAGCTGAGTTCAAATTCCAGTCAGACCCATTACATTCACTTACGTGCTAATAACCTTGGGAAATGTATGAATCTTCTTCTTCTCCCCCCAGCTATGGGTAAATAGCAGGACAGACCAGGTTGGATGGCAACTGGTCTACCACAGAAAGAAATGGCAACCTACTGTGGGGAAAAAAATCTGCCCCGTCAGTCATTTATTGAAAGATACATGATCGCCTAAGCTTGTATCATGCATCAAATTTAAATTTAATCTTTATTAAGTTTAAAATTATAAAATTAATTTCAATAAAAACAAAATAAATAGAAGAAAATATGTATTTTTTTTCTCAGTTTCTTCTTTAAATAATTTTATAATTTTAAACTTAATATAAATTAAATTTAAAATTGCTAATTTTTAATTTTATAGCATAATTTAATATTTATTAGTTAGAATGAATTCTATTTTAGTCTAACCCTAACATTAAAACATTAATTAATTATTATAACCAAAGTTCGTTGTCAAGTTTTTTGAATTCCCATATACTTGTATTTTGATTGGTCATTCCAGCTTATGCAACAGCGTTTCCCCTATCAAGGGGTGCTTGATTGATTTGAACCTTTTAAAACCCGTTATTCTACATTCAACACCATCATTTGATAAGACACCAGAAGTGTTGAAACAAAATGGCTATTTTTGTAGTGATTTTATAACATATTTATTTATAATTTTGAATAAATAATTATATATATATATATATATATATATATATATATATATATATATATGAAAAAAATATACTGAAAAAACAAACAAAAATCCTAATATGCGATTATGCTGTTTTAATGTTAAATGTCAATGTTGGACGTTTCAGTCTAATAGACCATCTTCAGGACATATTCATAAAACATAGTTAACATAGACCATATACAATTCAACATGAAAAAGACGATGGACATAAAAGCAATACCAATCCAAACAGATAACTGAAATCTTTTATAAGATCAGCATTCCGTTTAAATATGATCACGTCGTCGTCACATGGGCGATGTTGTATATGGTCTATGTTAATTATGTTTTATGAATATGTCCTGAAGATGGTCTATTAGACCGAAACATCTGACGTTGACATTTAACATTAAAACAGCATAATCGCATATTAAGATTTTTGTTTGTTTTTTCAGTATATTTTTCTTCATACTGTCGGATCTATATCCATATATTTGCTTACATATATATATATATATATATATATATATATATATATATATATATATTTTTATATATATATATTGGTTTCTTTTATTTTAATACAAGTTTTTGAGGGATAGTTTTAGATTGATATAAGGTGGCAGAGGGGCTGGAAGTGGGGTGGGAACCATAGAACAATCTAAATTAGAAATGGAAGATAAGGATAGGATTGTATTTAAACCATCTTTAATAAGTTATTTAAGTTAAAGTGTACTCAAGTCAAGAGGCCAGACAATTTGGCTTCTTAAATAAGTTTTTAAACAGGAAAAGGAAAAAAGAAAAAAGGAGGAGAAAACAAATTGTAAAGCAGGGGAGGAGGGAAAAAAAGAAAGAAGAAACAAAGAGTTAAATAGGGGAGGAGGAAAGAAGGAGGAAAAAGAGAGTTAATCATGGTGACACTTGAAAAACACATCAATTCATAGTTAATACATAAACTATTAAAGATTACCAGCAGAGTTGGAATAAAATAAAATATATTAATAATGTTATTAATCTTCATTAATACTACTTGTAATTAATACAGGAAAATATATTAAAGATTATAACAATATAAAAAATTTTTAAAAATTTAATTTTAGAAAAAAGATTATAAAAATTAATATTATTAATAAAAACTATTATATAAAAGTTAAAAAAATAAATTTATTTCAAATTTAAAATAATCTAAAAAAGTAAAAAAATTAAATTTATAAATGATACAGAAAAATACATCTAATATTAATAATCAGATTACTTACTAATAATAATAATATTATTAATAATAAAAAATAATAAAAATAACAATAATAATAACAGTTAGATAAAAAATAAAGAGTAATATCTAAAAAATAAATATATAAAAATAATAATGTTGCTTGGTAAATTTAATAAAAATTTGATAATAACTAGATTATATATATATATATATATATATATATATATATATATATATATATATATGAGAGAGAGGAAATAATAAAGCAACAAAGATGGCATATCTACCTGTTCTTGACGATTTTCAAATTCCATAGAACACAGGCTACAGCTTGTTTTACCACCTGCCACAGTCATCACACCAGGTTTGTGAGATGAGCCAACATCTGAAAGTCAATGAAACATCTTATTAAATTTTCACCCCTTACATCACATACAAAAATATACAAGAATGTCCACCTGAAAGTTAGATTTTGAATAATGAACTAAAATTATTTGCATTATTTACTCTCAGGCTATTGACCACATCTTTGTTGTTATTATCACAACATTTTGGCCTTCTTCATGTCCTTGTCAGTTAAGGTAACCCTTGGGCAATTTCAAACTAATCCCTTTATTTAATCAATAGGGGCAAATTGTTCTCTTTCTGCTGTTCATGTCACAGCATAATAGACTTATGGATTAAAGCATTGGTTTGTGAATTTGGTAACATATCAATTGTGAGTTCAATCCCCAGGCCAGGTAATACAACCTTAGACACACTGGAAACAAGGTGCAAAGTAACTAAGCAGTACTAAAAGAACTAGACAAGCTATCCCTAGACATAAGCAGCAGAAAGAGAACACCCTATCCCCATAGATTGAATAAAGGGTTCAGTTCGGAATTCCCTAGAGGTTACTTGGATTGACATACACTTGATAAAGTGTCTGATAATTTGCAGAGGTAGATTATTCTCATTTTGCTGTCTGTGACTACAGCGTAGTGGATTATGGTATTGGTTCATGAATTTGGTGACATCATAACTGTGAGTTCAATCCCTGATCCAGGTAGTAGAGACTTGGACTCAGGGGAAACAGAGCAAGCAATAATTGAGAAGTACTAAAAATAAGAACTAGATGTGGACAGTAGATTAAATAAAGGGTTCAGCTCAAAAACCCCTACAAGTGATTTGGATCAACAGACACCTGATAAATGCCTCATAATCTCATAATTTGATGACACAATAATTGTGAGTTCAATCTCAAATCAGGTAGTTTGGACTTAGACTCAATAAAAACAAGACAAGCAATAACTGAGAAGTACTAAATAAAGAAGACAAGATATCCCCTAGACAGGGACAGAAGAATGAGAACAATCTACCCCTCTAGATTAAATAAAGGATTCAGTTTGAAATCATCTAAAGGTTGCCCAAATCAACAAACACCTGAAGAAGACATGACAATCAAATGTTATGATGATAACAACAAAGATGAGGATATTAGTCCAACTGTAAATAATGTAAATGATGAGAACTGCTGATCCCAGAAATTCAGACAGAAAGTAATCCAGTGTCAGGTACCAAAAAATGGTTCATCATGCCGTCTTCATGCATTTTAGTATTTTGTTTTTAGTTTTATCCTTAGACTTCAACAGGTTTTAACACAATGATGAAAATCCGACTTGCAGTTGCATAAAAAAAAATTGCAGAAAAACAATAGCTTGTCCAGTGGCAAAAGCTGCTGGTGGCGCCAGGGGTGGCAAAAGCTGCTGGTGGCGCCAGGGGTGGCAAAAGCTGCTGGTGGCGCCAGGGGTGGCAAAAGCTGCTGGTGGCGCCAGGGGTGGCAAAAGCTGCTGGTGGCGCCAGGGGTGGCAAAAGCTGCTGGTGGCGCCAGGGGTGGCAAAAGCTGCTGGTGGCGCCAGGGGTGGCAAAAAGCTGCTGGTGGCGCCAGGGGTGGCAAAAGCTGCTGGTGGCGCCAGGGGTGGCAAAAGCTGCTGGTGGCGCCAGGGTGGCAAAAGCTGCTGGTGGCGCCAGGGGTGGCAAAGGCCAGGCAAAAAGCTGCTGGTGGCGCCAGGGGTGGCAAAAAGCTGCTGGTGGCACCAGGGGTGGCAAAGCTGCTGGTGGCGCCAGGGGTGGCAAAAGCTGCTGGTGGCGCCAGGGGTGGCAAAAGCTGCTGGTGGCACCAGGGGTGGCAAAAGCTGCTGGTGGCGCCAGGGGTGGCAAAAGCTGCTGGTGGCACCAGGGGTGGCAAAAGCTGCTGGTGGCGCCAGGGTGGCAAAAGCTGCTGGTGGCGCCAGGGGTGGCAAAAGCTGCTGGTGGCACCAGGGGTGGCAGTACCACCTTAGCCACTAAAACTGTGTTATCTCCCTTGGTTGGCAGCTAACTTGGACAGGGTATCGCACATGCTTTCCTACATTGTATGTAGAAAAAAGGAAAAGGATACACTGAACAATGACCTTTTGGAAGTGAGTGGAAAATCAAAGTCATACTGTCAATATCAAAATGTAATACAGATGGAGACAATCTTTTTTGTAATGAATTCTGATTGAAATGGAAGATCAAATTTCTTCAAGAGTGTATCCATTCAATTTCAATTTATTCAATAAATTAAGATTGACTGATTGTTTTTTTACAACCTATCAATCGTTTGTGGGTTATTTAAAGTCAGAAAATATTTTTTGATTGTAAGAATGTTTTGCAAATAATAATGAGTTATTGATAGAAGTCCTACTAATTAACCCCATAGCTGGGGGGAGAAGAGGTAGATTCATTTCTTTCCTAAGGGCATTTGCATGTAAGTGAATATAACAAACCCAAATGGAATTGGAACTTGGCCCTCAATTCCAAGCTGTTAAACATTATACCACCCACACATCCAAGATTACAGCATCTGCTATTCCCATTCTGATATATATATATATATATATATATATATATATATATATATATATATATAATATTATCTATTGTTTGCATACCAAGCAGAAAAATGTAAGAATGAATGTTGGAAAACTAATTAAAAAAAAAAAAAAATTAATCAGATTTTCCTTGTCTGTCATATTCAACAAAACATGTTTAAAAAGAAAGGTTACTGCCTAAATATACACACACATATATATATATATATATATATATATATATATATATATATATATATATATTATATTTACAAATTCATGAATTATTCACACAAAAACAAATGCAAAGGTTAATGATTTAATTGGCGAGAAATCCATTGTCGCAAACAATTCAAATAATATACAAAACCTCCGAATCCGTTATGAATGAAAAGATCCTTGTTTCTATAAATTTCTGCCGTATTAGTTCTTATTTTTTTTTACTACAAGCTTTCGTCTATTCCTACAGACATCTTCAGGTATGGAATAGATGTTGTTCTTGTTTTTCTCTTAGTAATAAGAGGACAACGAAAATATATGTATTGTTGTATCCGAAAATGCTATTGGAAATGAGTTATTGTTTTTGGAGCCGCCAGTAGCAATGCTGAGTTTGGTTTTAAATTTTTACAGTTGTGCGTTCATGTACAAATATGGTGATAAACGAATTTTTACTGGTAAATTTTCTGTCAAAGTGGCATGAACTATATTGTTCAATAATTACAGTAATGTTGCACTTATTATCCAAAAAAGTAGCACTTGGATCAGATATTTTAATTACGATAAAATGCAATCAATTTACAAATTCATGAATTATTCACAAAAAATATATATATATATATATATATATATATATATATATATATATAGAGAGAGAGAGAGAGGAATCCCTTGATTACTGCAGCTGATGTGTAGATCGGTAACTATAAAAAAAAAAAAAATCAATTTTCAATTATTATGGTTACACTGAAGAATGTTTTACTGTACCAATCAAGTATTATGTATACACTAATCGTATTTTGCTATATAAAAATTTTAGTGCACTGACTAGAAACAGATTAATCAAATATGCATTAATCAAGGGATATATATATATATAGTCATATATGAAAAAATATCGTTTTAAGGTGTGCTATATTTATGGGATAAAGTGCTCAATGATATGGAGCTTATGTAAATATAACATGAACATTGAATCAACACTCAGTGTAACTGTTTCATGCTAAACGCAATCATTGCGTTTAGCATGAAACAGTGTTGACTTCAATGTTTACTTTATATATATATATATATATATATATATATAATATATATATTACACACATGCACACACACTTGCATAGAATTAAAAAAATTTAAAAACATAATTTACTCACTTTAATTTATTAGACTTTAAATAACATCACTTAACATCTTCCATAATTTAAGTTGACTTTTCAGTTAACCTGATGAATATTGCTGAGCGTCTTTTAAATATAAATTTTTTTTAAAAATAACATTTTTACATTTGCTTATAAATATTTATTGTAAAATAAAATCTTTATATTTGGCTTGATAAAACTTGTCACAGGCCAAAAAATGCATTGGATAAAATAAGTTTTCCTTTTGTCTTTATTCATATGGTAAATTTGTGGAAGCAAAAATTATTTACCAGATTCAGAATCAGATCGAGCAGGATTATGTCCAGTGGCTGCTCCCATACCCGAAGTTTGACTGACTGAGGGGTCACAAGCTGCAAGCTGAAGTCCAAACAATTTGGTCTTGACTTGGTCCACAGAATACAGGGGACAACTGGAATAGATTTGAGCCTCCCCTTTTGACAATTTGGCACTGGGACTCACAGACTGCATGGCCTTAAAAAAGAAAAAAAAAAAAAAAGAATTCTTTGATTATATATGTCAATACAATTAATTACAAGTTAATTACAATTAAACTTCTATAAAATTTAAGTCAATTTTTTTTTTTTAACTTTTTCAGTCTTTAATGAGTAATTACTGATCACATTTTGTTATATTTTTATTGTCTCATCAAATTATCTTCTTTAGTTCTCACAACTGATGAATTTTAAGTGTGGATAGAGTTCCACAAGATGAAAATATTTAATAAAATCTCCACTGTTATATCCTAATATTGAAATCACCTAAAGCAGTTCTCAAACCTTTCTTTTCTATTACCCAAAACTGCTACCCATGTTCTGCTGCTACTGATTACCCAGAGTACAAAAAATACATCTGTCTCCCCTATCAAATTTCTTAATGAATTCACTAAACTAAATCCTCTCATCTATTGTATTGTAGTGAAACCCAATAAAAAAAAAAACAAATAAAATATAAAAATATAATATATAAACAAAAATAAAATGAATTAAAAATAAAGCATTTGTACTTTCCTTTAAATTATTTAAAGCTTTCTTTCTCTTTCTCTAAACTTCTCGACTAACAAAAATGCAACCCTCAATTAAGAAAAAGATGAAAAGAACCTGGGCGAAAAATCCTGAAAGTTTGCAAGGTCAGAGCCAACTTATTTGTGACTGAATAATACTAAAACTCAGGGAGACTCCACCCATAATTTCCGTTAAAAAAAAAAAAAATGAAAACCAGAAAATAAAATAATTTTGGCCAATCAAAAATACTGACACAAAGAGACTTTTGATATTAGCCGAAACCAATGTTCATGCCAGAATCTTGGAGTCTGGTCAAAAAGATATAAACCTGACACCTCTGTGCTCGAAAGAACAGACATTGCGAGTTATGAATGGAGATGCCACTATGGAGAAACCAGCCATGCATGATGCATGAAGAAGTAGTTAAAAGGTCATCTGCTAATGATATTTCTGACCTGCTTAAGGTCAAGAAAAGAAAAACACAGTAGACTGACACTGACCTATTTCTAAGCTTACTATTATCCTTATCATGGTCTGACTTCAAACTACCAAAACAGATATTTGTACAGACTGCTACCAATATCCACCTTATTAATAAACTTTTTGCTACATTGAATATCAAAGGCCTCACTCTTCACTATAAAGAAAATTAGTTTCCAGTAATAAAAATTTTATCACTATAACTACACTGGTGACCTCCTGACATGTACACATCTTACCACTTATCTACAGTATATATTCTTTAATGACATAGTAAAGATTTGAAGTTGAAATACTAATTAAGAATGAGTTTGTCAAAGAAAGGCATGGTGAAGTAATTAATAAAAGCTTGGATTGAGGAATCAGAGCAGAGTTCAAATTCCAGTTGAGTTTGTCACATTCACTTATGTGCTAATACTCCTGGAAAAGGTATGATTCCATCTTTTTTCTTCCCAGCTATGGGTAAAATAACAGGACATACTGTGTTTTATGCCAAAGTCCAACTCCCTGATTGTATGCCCCTACAACTCAAGTAGGAAGGCCTACTCTGTTCTCGCTCAACAAAACTTGGATCCACATTCAAACCAGCTTGTGGGACTAGAGGATATTTACACAACAAAGTTTGGTGATGCCAGGGGCCAACTCCTTGATTGTATGCACCTACAACTCAAGTAGGAGGGCCTACTCGGTTCTCACTCAACAAAACTTGGATCCACATTCAAACCAGCTTGTGGGACTAGAGGGCTTGTGGGATTCTGTACAACAAAGTTAACAGAGACAATTTCAAAGACTAAATTTTTATTTCACTCTTTGATTAGATGGCCTCCTGATATTGACTCCATTCTGTGTGCTATTGTAGGTAAGTGGTAGTGTGTCCAACATAATTATTTATGGGTATCTTTCGTTGCGAATTCAATTCATTATGAGGCATATAAATTATCATAATAGATACATTTTTTTTATCACTAGGAAATCGTTTTAGAAATAAGTCATTATTATTACAAGTAATCAATGATGACCAGAACTCAATATTATCACTTTGAATTTTATTCAATTTTCATAAAACACATTTGTCCAATTCTTCTCCACCTTTTTACCTGCACCATTTAAAATCAAAATAAGAAACAAATCAGACATGGAAGACAGTAAAATAACCTGAATTATTTAATTGTTACCTTCCACAATTTTAATCAGGGGGCCCATTATGGATAACTTTTTGGGTTTTCATAGAGGATTATTTTGAATATTTTCAATAACATGTGTGTGAGATAGATATATTACATGAATCATTCATACAAAAAACTTATATATCATTAACTTCACTAATCTGTTTTTTTGTATGAATGATTCATGTAATATAAATTAAACTGCACCACATATTTAATTTAAAAAGAACTGATCCGACATGCAACTTCTGCGATAATAGCTGCGACATTGCTCTATTTATTGAACAATTTAGTTCATGCCACATCAACTGAAAAAACTACTACAACAAAAGAATTCTCCAATTACCATATTAGTAAAAAAAAAAAAACGCACTCTCTTTTAAATTTTCTAAAAATTCAACCTTAGCGTTGTGACCGTACAGTCCAGAATTTCTTACAGTTAACAATAACACATTTATAAAAAAACATATTTCGATTCACATCTAATCTTTCGTGTCCCATTATTACCTGGGTGGATTTTAAAAAACAAATCAATTTCCATGCCTGATGATGTCTGTATGAACAGATGAAAGTACTAGAAAAAAAAGACCTTATACAAGTTGAATTTATTAAAGACAGGGATCACAACATTCATCTAGAGGTTTATGGGTTAATGTAATTTTAATAAATTTGTTTGCGAAGATGTATTCTCTACATTTATATCATTAACTTCACTAATCTGTTTTTTGTATGAATGATTCATGTAATATAAATTGAACTGCACCATATATATGATATATATACACACACACACCTACTTCAATCCCTCTTGAAAGTATGAGATCAAGAATTGACTTGAATTTGTCACTGGCTCTATTATAACTTAATTCTACAGTTGAATAGCCACATTTACAAATACCAAATTACACAAAAACAGAATCCCTTTTGTTAACACTAAAGCATAAATCATAGTGAAGCTGACATTTTATCTGGTACTGTTTAATATCAAGTGCAAAAAAATTTTTAAAAATAAAAAATAAATTGAGGATAACATTTCAACAAATCTACAAAAGTAAAAATAAAATCTTATTTAGGAAATTCTAAATAATTTTTTAATGCCATGTTCCAAAGGGACATGGACAAACATGCCCCTCCATATATTTGTTTTATTTATTATATGTGAATTGTCATGCCTTCTTGGAAAGATTGTCGAGTGTTTTCTCATTGCCCTCACCACAGTTTGAAATTCAGTGTTTTCTTTCTCTTAGACTGGTTGCTATCAAGGCTACAGAGTTCGGTCTACCCTGCTATTTAATCCACAATCTTACTTGTAAATAAGATCAAACGTACAGTCAATATTAAAAAAAAAAAAAAAAAAAATGAAAGTAAAAGGTGAAATTTATTATTTGAACTTTTTGATTATTAATTTTATTCTTAATTTACTGCTATGTTAATAATGAATAAAAATAAATAAATAAAAAGTTACCAACAAGATTTGATAATGTTCATACTAATGTTAATCAGGACAACAAATAATTTTACTAAAACGGAAAGAAAAATATATATATATATTAAAGAAAAACAAAAACTGTTGGTGAGACCAAAGGAGAACTCGCCAAAAGACGTAAATCCCCCCCCTAAATCCCGAACAAAGACAGCAATAAGGAAAAAGAAAAAAGACCTAAAGGCAAACACCTTCCTACTCAGTCAAGTGATAAATGCCTAGATTACACAGACAGAACAAAAACGCACGACAACATTAATTCCTAAAAAAGGCTAGCCCTTGTCATAACCAGAGTTTCAGAGATGATCTTCAGATGACTTAGATACAAATGAAAGAGGGGAGTGAACACTTTTTGATATATCCCGGAAAGGGATATATTTGTTCGAAGTAGCAAATTGGTTTTGGGCTACTGTAACCGAGTAGGACAATCTAGCAGGTAACCGTAATGAACTGGTCCTCGTCGTAATGGTAGGCAATAGGCGTAGTTCATGTAACTCCACATCAGTCTGTATTTATGGCTGACACCAGCCAATCATATTACTGTGAGGGGGGATTCAGGTGTATGCATATTCATTACAATACTTTTATAAAACACATACACACATACATATATATAAAGTAAAACAATACTCATATGTTACTGTTTTCTGTTGGCACTTATGCTATAATAAGCATTTGGTTGCAAAAGGACTCATATGTTACTGTTTTCTGTTGGCACTTATGCTATAATAAGCATTTGGTTGAAAGAAATAATGAGGATTAGTTTTTTTAAAACATGTATTTGTTTAATATACAGTGTTGTCGGAAAATTGGTAAATTGTCGATTTCTGTTGCCGATTGTCAGGATGACAATTAGGTTTAAGGGTAGGGCCAGGAGTGGACCAATTTCTCATGGACAATATGAAAAAGAAAACTTAGCAGATATGTTTCATCCTCTGTGGGACTTTATCAAGGCAAATGTAAAGATTTTATTATATATATATATATATATATATATATATATACTTGTTACAAAATAAAATCTTTGCATATGTCCCACAGAAGACGAAATGTATCAACCAAGATAAATTTCCCTTTCATCTTTATTCATATATTAGAGAAGATTCCGTTATCTACATCTTACCACACAGACACCAGATGGTTCTTAAACACATTATTTGAAAATTAATCTGACAGATAGACCTTGTCAGTTTTATTTATTCAAACTAGTTACAATAAATACTTGCTGTCTAATTGTAAAATTATATATATATATATATATATAAAAATAAAAAGAAAGAACAGTCAGATGTATCATCCTGAGTTCTTTTACATTTATTTTTAAAAACAGTGCTAGATACA